CGAATCAAACAACCATTCGAGTTGAGGATAATCCGGGCCCATTGAGCTCGGCTCGGCCGGAATTAAGCAAACATTTGGCCCATTTTCAAAGCCCTACATAATCTGTTGTGGAGCCGCACTGGCAGCGAGGAGTCTCCTCGGAATTGGGGAGCGGAGGGGGCACCACCAAGACCGCTCTGGTATCGACCCACGCGCAGCCCCTGTTCGCCAACAACCCCAGCATCACACACGCGGCGGGGACCGGCCTTTGAAATCCTCTTAAAGTTGATGCGTCTCAAATAAATTCGTGCACCGCTTTAACGACAGGCCGCATGGAGACAAATTCAAAACAAGCTTCACTTTCATGTTCTTTTCGTCAGAAGCCTTCTAATATTCTCTTGTTTCAATTCAAGTGAACCATACATAAAAAGCAAGGAATGCTTTATATGATGCTTCATTTAATTGAAAAGTTATCGTTTTTGCATTGATATATTATTATACAAATTAGATAATTGCAGAAAAATACATCTCACAAACTAAAATTTAAGGATTGATTAATTAATTTCTGGGTTTTCAAAGTTTCTGGAAGATCTCCTTCTGACAATTAATTATAATTTTGAATGGCTTAACACCCTCAAAAGTGAGCAATTATCCTAATTTGATCTTAATATTTTATTGCCTGCTTAATTTTAAGCACAAATTATAAATCAGGAACTATCAGTAACTTGTTCTTCATTTATTTTTTCTAACTTTATTCGTATTTTAACTTGCAACTTTCATTAAAAATAAAATAATTTCGTTCAAACTACTCATTTCTTTCACCGTTTTTCATTAAAGCATTTTACTTCCTTGCCAGCTGATTGTGGCTTTGACAAGCAGGAAACATTGTTTCAAAACTGATTAGAGTTTATCCTAGGTTTATCGAGGAACTGAATTAGAATTACAGAATTATAAAAATTACAAGCTAAAGAAGAAATAACAATAAATCTGCTGTTTGGCTTGAGTTTTTCGAATATGTTCAGAAGCAAAGAATTTTTTTCTTTCTTATTCAACTTGGCTGCAGACCAAAGGAAAATGAGAAAACATCTCGGCCAATTATTCTGGCGAGCCATATTTCTTGAAAACAAATTACGAGTAGTCGGGTCTGCATGCAGTTACTGCACGAAAACATTTTTACGGTTTTTACGACCTCAAAAGCTAGATGGTAGGGGAGCGCAGAAAGGACGGAAAAGACTGTGTGTTTTTAAGACCACGCGCCTCAAGTTTAAGAAACAAAAGACAGAAAAGTCAGTCGACACGAAGCTAATTACTTTTTGCTGCATGGGCAAATCTCAAGGTTGAGAAGTTCCTTGTCAGAAGGACGGAAATTTATTTCCCTTTACTTAAATAAATGGCAATGTGGTGGTGAAAGAAAATTAATAATTTTTACTTGCTTCCTTTGCCGGTAAATTGTGAGTCATTCCCCCGCGGCTATCTAATCGCACTTTCCCTGTGGCGATAAAAGTTCTCTGCGATGATATTGAGCAAACATTTGCCCGCATAGGATAGGAGGAAACAAAATATTTTATTTTGGCCTTGCTATGTGATACACTCCACTGGCCAGATATTAACACCAAAAAAAGAGGAAGGGCCGCCGCTTGGGGCTATTTAGATTGGGCGATTTTTTTAATTAGGCCAAAAGTTTCGGTAAAAAGTTAACTTAAATATTTCCATTAAAAAAAAAAATAATAAATAAATAAATACTTCAGTCTGAAAAATTGTTATTTTAGTGAAAAAACAAAACAAAAAGAGAATAATATAAATTCTGAAAACTTATTGCACTCTTTTCAATTGACGATGTATTAAAATTTTTAATTCAGTACATGCACATCTTACATATAATAACTATTTAAGCATATTTAAGTTGGATTAAACTAATATAAATTTTAAAAAAATTTCACGATAAATAAGGAATCTCAATTTTAGTGTTAATAGAATTTATCATTCCTAATATCTGAAATTCCTTGATGAATTTCCAAAACATTTTTATCAGATAAATTTTTGACCCGCAAAGTAAACAAGACTTATGTACTTGAATGCCTGTCAACCAATTTTCTGCGACGGCAAAGGGAAGCTGTGCGTCTCCATGACAAACGAGGTGGCTCTATATATTTATTTTTCTATTTCTTTATGCTTTTATTTCGCGAGTCATTGCCGTGCAAGGTATGGAGCAGCAATTGCTGGCTGCGTAGGAGAGGCGGAATGCCTTGAATAATGCGTGTACACCGAAACGGGCTCACAGGCAGCTGCACTTTTATGACGCGGCGGCCGCGCACAGGTGATAATACTACATAACAAGGCAGGTGCCAATTCCGCACCGCTCGCTGCCCATTAGAACTCGGAATGGCTCCACTATTTCCCGCGGCCTACCGGAAAGATTTAATCCTGACCAAAATTTTCTCTCCACTACAAAGCTGCTCAGCCGCCCACCGACCAACGAGTTAAATAAACTAGTGCTTTGTACTTGGGCACAAGAATCATTTGGCAATGAGAATTGAGAGACTTGTTCAGAAAGTAGAAAGGGAACTGGCTGTACCAATATTTATACATTTTGTTTCTTATTAAAATTTAACTTTTATAAAAGCACGGAATTGTTGAATTATTATTCGGAAAGTTTCTTTTATCTTTTTTTATTAATTAGAGATAGAAAATTGTTGCCAATTTTTATTATTATTGTTTATTCGTCCACATTTTTACAAAACATTGATTACAATTACTTGTTGAAAACAATTGATTTAAAAAAAGGAACTGTTGGACAAAACAGCACCACCACTAGCTTGCTTGATTAAATTTAAACGCAAAGAATTGTCGTATGCAATATAAAATTAAAATAAAATAAAAAACGAGATATTAAATTGCTTTAAATATTTAAAATGTGGTGGTGCTATTTAGTCCAAAAATTCATTTCCTTCCAAACAAACTTTGTTTTAATAATCAAATTGAACGTAACAATATAGACAAATAAACTACAATAAAATATTTATGATCGATTATTAAATTTTCAAGCTTTTCTCAGATTCTCTCAAATTGGCAAGGTTCCCTTGGTGTTGGTGAGTGCGACTCCTCCTAAATCTAGCTCTCGTCTGTCCGGCCAGTTGAATCGTGAGTAGGACGAAGCTCGTCTGCGACTGAATAATTCAATGCCGCCACGGCGTGCTTAGATTTCTCAAGGGCTCTTCTTCTACGCGAATAATTAACACTTTGTTTTCTGTTGGTGGTTCAAAATGCCAAAAACACCCTTGCTATTTTTGCTGCTTTAATACAAAACTGGCAATATTTGACTGAAAAAATGATCGGTTACAAAATTTAAAATCAAGAAACTATTTTCATGTTCATAAATGAAGGATCTTCTTGCAAATTTGTATTACTTTAATAATTAAGAGTATTCCAAAGGTAACAAAATTTTTCCTGGAAGAGAAATTTCAAATACCATCATAAATTTAGAATATATAAAAATAATTTAAAACTCTAAAATTTTTGTATATTTTGAGAAAAATTTTAAAAAACTTTCAACTTATTTTAGCCCAGCTCAAGGCAGTCCAAACAATTCTTATGAGAAAGAAATTTTAAACTACTAACATTACTTCATCAGAAATAGATAAGGAGGTTAAAAATAAACGCAGTATTATTATTTGACCTCTTCCGCATAGACAGACTCCAGCTTGTTGTTTTTCGAGCAGTCCTTCTGAGCTTCTTCTATTTGACCACTCTGGAAAAGGTCTAGAGAAATAAGTAGAGAGGCCGGGTCAAACTGTTTGTCCAGCAGTGACGCAACAACCAAATAACGTTCGTTCGCCGTCGTCGGCCTGTGCGTTTAATAATAAAGATGATGGCCTGCCGCTTAACACACTCCTTATGTACCAAAGTACATAACACACAGTATATTTATCCCTGAGCTCTAACGTTTTCTCATCATCCTGATGACTCACTCGATCAGTAAGCCAAGATACACCTCAAAGGTGACAAGTTGGCCGAGAAATGAAAATAGGAATTTTATAAATAAATATTTAGGCTCATACGGGCTCATAAATAATCTCAACTTCATTCTACTAGGGGAGTTGAATCTCTGCAGAGAGAAGCGACGTGCGGGGTTTTGAGAAAAAAATATTCAGCCACAACAAATATGTTTTATATCTGTTAATTTTGCAATTAAATGCAGCAGAATGAAAATCTCTGTCTGGGGCAAGCAAAAAATATTTAATGCGGCAGTGGGGGTGGAAATTTTTTCCGCACAGACGCTGCTCCCCCTGCTTTCCGAAAACACGTCCTTCCGTGGCCGAAAATTTTCTTCCCGTAAATCTGGACCAAAATAATTTTTATAAATTTTAGTTCATGAATGGGAACGACAGAACTAGAGTTAATTACGCCCTTGGTCAAAATTTGGGCTTGAAAACAAAATCAATTGAAGTTAGTGGCGAGCCGCGGCGGCTGCGGTGTTTTGGCCTACCTTCGGACAGCTCCAGGTCAAGCTCAGCCAGTTTGTCGCGCACATCCTCGGGCAGCGTTGATATGTCTACGGTGGACTCGGCCATGCTTGCTTTCGCACAATTTCACTGATAATTTCCACTGACAGTCTCACAACCCTTCGACATCGACTTTTCCATTCCTCGCCATTTTACAGATCCGTCAAATAATCCTTGCAGGTGGCAGCACCGGCTTACCAAAACAAACCCCACTGCTCATGTTGCCAAGCGCCTATTGGCTGCGATAACCCGACTGTCAGAAGTTGGCTCACTCAGCCTGTTTTACTACAAGCTCCGACTCGAAAAATAGCCCAAGAGAGAAGCACCAACGTTACAAAACTTAATTTGATTAAATAATATCCATAAAGTTGAAGGTATATAACTAATTCTATTTTATTTTAAATCGAAAATAATAAAATATAGTTTTTTTATTATTGAAACTTGCATCATCATAATCTTTATAATGAAATCTTTTATAAACACTAATAATTTTAAGTTGGTAGAATGGTTAACTTCAAATTGATCGTCCGCCATACTTGTGAGTTTTGCAAAACGTAACGTAAACTAGTTGCAAAAAGTGGGAGATTGTTTCATTGCATTCGTTTACTTCGTTGCGTCAACCAACTAATTGTTTGCGCATATTTGATAATTCTGCTGAGTAGAAAGTGAAAATCCTCTCAATCTACCATAAAACCCACGAGCGCACCTGGATCTCATCGCTTAAACGCTGCCAACGCTGGTTCCAGAAAAAATGGGGTAAGTTCCGTGTTCGATCGCAAAACTTTAATCATTGCGGAAATACTAAGTATGTCACTGTTCGAGTGTTATTATTATGTATGTAGCGAAAGCAACAACTTGGCCTAATTTTCCGCCTTTGTTCCAGCATCGATTCGGACCCAGAGGTCGTAATGGGCTCAATCGACAAGACGAAGAAGAAAAAACACAAGCACCACAAACACAAAAGTGGTCATAAAAGTAAGAAGCATCACACGCCTGAAAAGGTCGAAAAGAAAGCGCACAAGAAAAGCAAACACAAGCATAAGTCGAAGCACGGTAAGTCTTCAAAGCCTGAAAAGATCGTGGTACCCGCTGTGGTTGCGGTTAAAGAAGTAGAGCAAATAGTGGTACCGGTCAAAGTTCAGCCCATCATCAATGGAAACGGCACCACTACTGTTATGGAGCCCGTCATTATCTCTGAGGATGAGGAAAGTGATGTCGGCGTTCCAAGGCCAAATAGCGACTCGGAAGAAGTGGATGTTGGAATAATTGAAGATGATATGAACTTGGAAGAGCTAATGAGGCAAAAAGTTAGTTTTTTTTCTACATAATAACCTCACTTAAATATCTCTTTCCCTTGTTCATAATTAATTTAAATGAAATTAATTAATTTTCTTTCCTGATTTAAGGAATTGCTGCAAGCTCGACTTGGTGCCTACGAGTCGGAAGAAGTGGAAAGTGAAGAAGAAAAACCGGAGCCTCAGGTCATCACTTTGTTTGATGACGAAGAGGAAAAAAAAGAAGCAAAACCTACGCCAAGGAAGGAGAGGAATGAGAGGATTGTTTCAGAAAGGCCTCGTGAGGAGAGGCCTGATAGGCGAAGGGAACGTGAACGCACCCCAGAGCGAAACAGGGATCGCAGGCTAGATCAAGGAGGCCGCAGAAATTTTGAAAGTATGATTTTCCATTTTTCCTGTACTTCTGTAGATGATTTTTATTATTCTTATCCAGATGCGAGAGATGCAAGAAGAGATGACGAGCGGCGGTTCAGAGATGATAGGCGGATGAGAGATGTCAGAGAAAGAGACCCAAGGGATGCTGATCGGAGGCGAAGGTCGCCGCCTCAGAGACGAGGTAGCCCCCGTCGAGATGGCGGTAGAGACAGGTACAGGCGGTCCCGCTCTCCCAGAGGTCGTCATGGTCGGGATGACCGGGGTCGCAGGTCTGAGAAAAATGATAAGTTCAAAGGAAGTTTGTCTGAAGGACTGAAAGTGGATGACTCCTCGTCGGAAGATGAAGAGCTGTCCAATTTAAAGCTGGAGGACGAAGAAGAGGACGAAGAGGCTATTATTGAGAGAAGGCGGAAGCAGCGAGAGGAGTTGCTGAAGCGTCTGGGAGCAAGTGATTCTGCGCCAAGCAGCGCAGTCAACAGCCCACTGCCTCCTAAGGAACCAACACCACCTCCACCTGAGCCAGTAAAGGAGCCAGAGGTTCAGCAACCACCACCGAGGAAGAAGAGGAAATTTGAGGATGCGCCGCCACCAGCAAAGGAGGAAGAAACAACTACAGAGAATGATAAAAATGAAAAACCCAAAAAGAAAGAATGGGACATGTTTGCTGAAACTGACACTTTTGGACAGTCGTTTAATGTAAGTGATGAATTAGCAGTTTACGTATAGAATTTTTCTGTGTTTTTATAGTTATTTTAAATTAATTATTGAATTGCAGAAACCTGGTGTTGTTGAGGAAGGAATGGAGAATCCTAGTCTGACGGACAATTGGGACGATGCCGAGGGATATTACAGAGTGAGAATTGGGGAGACGATGGACACTCGTTACGCTGTGTACGGATACACTGGACAGGGTGTGTTCAGCAATGTGGTTCGAGCAAGAGACGCAGCCAGGGCAAATCAGGACGTAGCAGTAAAAATTATCAGGAACAATGAAATCATGTAAGATATTGGGATAGGGGGGCAAAAGAAGAGCTCTGCAATGCCTCGGTAAGAATTGGCCTCGCCTCTCTTTCACGATTTAAGCCCGTTGTCCCCAGATTTTAACTGCGACATTGGTCTTTACAGACGAGGCGGCAGTCCTTGCTGGCCGGTTTCTGCCCGGAAATTACCCACCCTAGCAAAACGAATGCCCCTGGTGGCAGGTACAGTAGAATGTGTCGCTTGACGAGCAAATTGCTCGCCTGCTGGCATTAAAGGGATCTTATTGTCATGCTTGGAAGAAAGAACCTACCACAAGTAATGGGACACAATTTTGGTTCAAATCTTTTTCACCAATCAGGAATTTTAAATGAGCACTTAAAACCAATTTTTGGAATTTTTTCAATACTTGACTACTTTTGGACGGGTTTATGAAAATTACCTCTTAGCTGCTGTAGCGTAGAAACCATAAAATTCTATTTTGAGTTTACTGGGGACTTGCAATGCAGAGTTGTCAGACTTTGTGTTGTTTCCAGGAGTGGAGATCGTGTCCGGCAGTTCAACCAGCCTCCAGTTGACCACAAGATAAGTGGAATTGGGGCGACACTTGTGTCGCCATCGAGGGCTATTTAAATTTGCATGATGCAGGCCAATTCAAAGATAAAAGCGATTCCAGGGCTAAATTTTGCCTTTCTTTCGCGCACTTAACTTAAAAATCAATCTGCCCTTCATCGTCTTGCCCTGTGTTTTGTTGATTAAATGCCTTTGGCGCCCTGTTCTTTGCTTCCAGGCACAAATCTGGCTTGAAAGAGCTTGAGATTTTGAAGAAGATGAATGACGCCGACCCTGAAGACCGTTACCACTGTGTGCGACTCTTCCGACACTTCTTCCACAAGCAGCATTTGTGCATGGTGTTCGAACCGCTGTCCATGAATCTGAGGGAGGTCCTTAAGAAGTACGGTAAAGATGTTGGTCTTCACATCAAGGCCGTTCGCTCCTACTGCCAGCAACTCTTTCTTGCCTTGCGACTTTTGAAGAAGTGTCACATTCTTCATGCAGATATAAAGCCAGACAACATTTTGGTAATATAATGATAAAAATCACCTAATATACTCTAATTGTTGTCATAATTGTAGGTAAATGAAAGCAAACTGGTGTTGAAGCTCTGCGATTTTGGTTCTGCATCATATGCAAATGAGAATGAAATCACTCCGTACCTGGTCAGCAGATTCTACAGAGCACCCGAAATCAGTGAGTTCTGAATTGGTAAATTTGGCCTTAACAATTGATGTAATTTTTTCCTCCAGTTCTCGGCATTCCTTATGATTTTGGCATCGACATGTGGTCCGCTGGTTGCACCATTTACGAGCTCTATACTGGCAAAATCATGTTCTCCGGCAATTCCAACAACCAGATGCTGAAGTACTTTATGGACTTGAAGGGCAAATTCCCGAACAAACTGATCAGAAAAGGCGCATTCAAGGAGAAGCATTTTGACGCCAATTGCAATTTCCTGTCGCACGAAATTGACAAAGTGACGGAGCGGGAGAAGACTGTTGTCATGTCCACCATCCAGCCAACCAGAGATCTGGCCAGCGAGTTGATCAACAACCAGAGCCTGCCCGAGGACCAATTCAAGAAAGTGTCTCAGCTTCGAGATCTGCTGGACAAAATCCTGATGCTCGACTCGAGCAAACGGTGCTCCATTAATGCAGCATTGACCCACCCCTTCATTTCAGAGAAGTTTTAAATCAACGTTTCATGTTCGTGTAGTTTTGTGTCATTATTGTTTGATGAATATTTGATATTGTGAATAACAAAAAACTGTTGGAGAAATTTTATTTTAGTCGAAGTGTATGATTTTTAATTGCCAATATTTTCATCCTGACAGATTTGAATAAAAAAGAAACGCAATCGTGCGCCACTTATTAATTATTTCAAACTATTATTTATTGCAATATTGACAACCACTGTAAATCTAAATTCTGTCAATGTACTGGCCTTTGCAACAGAGTAGGTAGTACATGCAACTGGATTTTTAAGCGTCAGTGATTGAAGGGAACTGCGGCGCCTTTTGACCTTAATTTATTTCAAAACAAAATTTGCACTGGTGCAATAGCGGCTAAGCTGGCCCTGGGCCAAACTGGCCTGCTCAACAACGACATCAAAGAATTTTAAACCATGAGAAGAAAAAAATAGCTCTTGTCGTTATACTCGGCTTGATAAATTGAATATCTACTGAGCACCAAACTTGAGTATTTCACTCCTGCATCTATTTTTTCTTCCCACTAAATCCTATTGCCTCGGCAATTGCGTCTTGCGAGGGAATATATGAAATGCAGCTAAAGAAAGAGCAGCGCCGCAAAAAAAAGATACACCGCGCGAGTTAATTGGCACAGAGACGCACACTACGAGGTCGCTGCAGCAGAGCCTTCCCTCTCTGCCTGCGCCGCGGCGTGCGTTCCGACAGTACCAGCGCGCCTCCCGTCGTGGGCACAAGTGATTCGGCGAACGAGCAGGCGTGTTTGGTACGCGGTGCCTCTTTCAAGTCGAGTGTCGTCTTTGGAGAAACCTGTTGCTCTTACTTGGTTGTTCCCTATTTGTCTCTGACAGGTTAGTGTTCGTTTAATTTAATTATGCACGTGCACATTTGCCCTTCTTGCTAGGAGAATATACGCGATGAGCTGATTCTATACTGCAGTAGGACTTTAAATTTATTTAAAATGAAATCAGTATTATTTTTAAAATTAAAGTCTAGGAAAAAAAATTCCTTCAATTTTGACGCAACAAAAATAGGAAAATAGTATTAAAGAGATAATTGTATTTAAAACATATATATACATTTAAATTTCTTTTAAATATTTTTTGTGTATTTGCTGAGGATCCATTTTTTTTAATCTGCTTATAAACAAAAATTTACTTTAAGTATGTCCAGAAATTGCAATCTATTTCTTTTAGAGAAAAAGACACTTTCCATAGTTTATTTTTAGAATTTTCCTCAGAATTTTCATGTCCACTATAAACAACTCTCGACGCCTGAACTCACCGCGCAGCTAAATTTGCACCTCTCTCATTTTCTCCTTTACATAAGAATTATTTATAACGTGCGTGTGTTAATGAACTTGGCGTGCACCGAGTAACGCGCGTCCAAAATGCAGGTGCGAGTATTTCATCATTATGCGCAGCGCACTCGAGAGTGACTAATATCGAGAGATGCTCGTCCCCGAGTGGGTATGGCGAACTTCATATTTTTATTTTTTATTATCAGCTCTCGTATGTCTGATAACGTGAGCACTGCTGAGCACGTTTTATATAAGGGCGTTTTGAAAATAGCTCTCTCGATGAATTATAATAGCCCTCTGCTGGTCTGTCCGTTTTAACATGTGCATTTTTAATGTGGGAAATGAGAACAAATACACGCGCGCCGATCGGGACATTGGTCATTCAATTATTTCAATGCGATTATGCGTGGCACTGTATGATATACACGTATTCTTTCAGCTGCTCGTCGTCTAGCTCTTTTCAGAGCAGGGAAAACGAATCGACTTAATTTTTGGGAGCATGGGAGCTTTACATTATCGTTGGGCCTCCTTTGTTTTGACGTTCGATTCGTTGATTAAGTCGCAGTTTGACACGCTTTGTGCTTCTCGCCGCGCTCGAGAAGAGTCTCCAAACGAATTTGCTGAGAGCCGAAGCACTTCTAAAAAAATTCAAGCTATTTGCTGGCAGAATTAACTTATCAAGATAAAAACACGCCATCCGTATAAATATAATTTTAAAATGCTTGGGTATATTTTCTTGGGGTCAGGAAGATAAAAAGGCATGATTGTGCGAGTAGATGAGGTGAGCATTCAAAGTGCAAATTCCTCGTGTTTTTTACCGTGTTTGGTCATTTCTCCGTTCAGATGCTTGATTTGTTTAAATACTAAACTGTCAACCTATTTTCTATGTTTTGCTGCAGGCCTTGCGCCTTTTAGAGAATCTTGATCATGCTCTCTCAGGTCAGATTTCTCTAATTGTAATGGAACAGAAACATGGTTTTACCTGTTGAACCAAATGGAATTAAATTCTTACACAACTCTCAACTCGCTGGTGCGTGGCCTCTCAAGTTGTGTACTGGAAAATAGGCTTGTAAATGCATCATAAAACATCCAGCACATAGAGGAGAGTATTTCTCCTAGTTCTCATAATACATACTCCAATAATAATGATAACCGCTTGGCGAGTATACCACAATCATCGCAGAATACGATTTATTTTCGCGTTTTACGCTGACAAATTTCATGCTTAAAATCTTGAAATTTTTGTGATTTGAATTAAGTCGGCTTCTCCTCAATGGGGGTTTTTTTTAGTCGTTTATTTTTATTATTTTTTTTTTTTGTTTAACAACAAACGTCTTAAAAAACCAATCGAAGAAAAGTCAAATTCATTTGAGCTCGAATTAAATTTTCATCGTAAAATTTAACCACATAAAAAAATAAAGAAAACTCTATCCCTTTGTCGTCTTCCTTTTTTGCATGAAGGCTAAAAATAATTTTTGCAGATTTATTTTAATAATTTTTATTTACTTTGAAACTTTTAAGCTTAATTGAATGTTGTACTTATGCTCAAAATAAAATCTTAGATGCAAATTGTGTTTATTGATCTATCACAAAGGCATTTGCTGCCTTTCTTAAATTATATTTATATTACCTTCACTCTTGCGACACACACATGAAAATTAAAAAGTATTAGAAGATGAAATTTTTTATGAATTGGGTAAAAAAAAAGTAAGAAATGGGCTCAACAAAGATTATAGCCTTGCCGAATCACAATAAATGATGATGATTGCAAGAGGGACACAAATGGGCCATATTATTCATTCGTTTTGTCCAAATCAAATGCTCGGCAGTGTGCAAAAAAATATTTTATTATGACGCAATAATTTCGGTCCAAGCTTTACCCAAAAGGACAATCTCTATCGTCATTAAATATTTATTTAACAATGCTCAAGAGTACCGTTCGTGCAGCTTTTCACACACTCGCACAATAACCATAAATCTCCCCATGTAAAAAAATGATGTTCGCGCCGCATCCTGGGCAAACAGTTGAAAATGCATGCGAAAGAAGCAGGATAATTATTCAAGATGATTCGTCACATTCGACAGCATCGTCGTCGTTGACGTACACACAACTGCGATGGTCCTCTGTGATCTTCCGAATAAAAGACAGCACCAGGATATTGTGCTCGACCGCTAACGTGCTTACAAAAAGACTCATTTTTTTGCAACAAATGCTCGGACAGAACAAAGAAAAATATAATTTCATTTAAAGCCGCTTTTTGCCTAGAAGTAAGCAAGCATTCTTTAATGATAATGGCACTACGCTTCGAAGGCCAACTTGTGTGTAAACTGAAAGACGCCGCACGAAATTCTCACACAAAAAACGACAAAATATTACAAGAGACGAGACACCGTGCTTTGCTACTTCTTTTTTCGCAAATTGCCCAGAAAACGCTTTCATTCTGTGCAATTTAGTCATTTGCAACTTGAACATTTGCACACTCCACTACACCCGTTTTTTTAAACTCATTTATTGAAGATGGAAAATATTAATTTACGGTTGCTAGCTGCTGTATACATTAAATATTTTGGCTGTAGTTGTTGATATTGATAGCTAAAACTTTTAAACGCATCATAAGTTGACCGCTCTGATGATTCGAGTAAAATAAAACCGCTTCCTGTTGTGATCAAACGCAGATTGATAAGCGAATTATAAATTTCACTAAATTTGCTAGGGTAATTTTTTTCTATTTACAATGTAACTTTTTTAACCTAAAACTGGTAAGATTTAAATTGTCATTTTTAATGGGGCTGGAGCTCCAGACATCCTCAAACTCTCAAAATTTCAAAGCGACCAAGATTTTTTTTAAATTTAAAAAATAAACTTATTTTTTAAGTTATATATTATATTTTTGCAATATCTTAAATTTTATTTTTTTATCCTTGATTATAAAAATAATGATTCGCGAACTTATTAAAAACAAGAAAACGCCGACCAAGGCCAGAACCTTTAAAAAATCTGTGCAAATTTTACTCCTTCTCTAAAGAAATAATTGTTGGAAAGTGATTAAATCTTTTGTAGTTCTCAGAACAGACGTCAACACCGCCTTGGTTCACAAGGAAAATAATTCTCTAGTGTGTCCTCAATGTCCCAATTTCATTTCAAAAACACGTGCGCGTCACTGAAAATTCAAATGAAGATTTCAGTAGGCTCGCAATAATATTTTGACACCAACTTGTTTCGCAAAAGCATGGAGAAACTAACTGCCGGCGTCGAAAAGTACGCGTTTCACGTGTTGGCCCTTGCGGATGGGCAGTATTTCTGCGCGGTTCACGGCGTTATTTCGGGCGACGTGCGAGATTCAGGGGAGTTACTCTTGAGTCAGACAACGTCATTTATTCGCCTCTTTACTCTTCTGCTCTCGTGGGAGTGCAAAACAGAGTAGACTTGCCCTTCAAGCGCCGCTTTTTGCCCAACGCCCAAACAACCCAGCAACACACGCTAATTGCGCCACACCATAATATGCCTGCGCGTGTTACTGACCTGGCTCAACTGCAAAAACTATATATGTGTATTCGTCCCCCTGCTCCAAACCCCCTGCTTTGTCTCTTTTTTCACAACCGGCTCAAAAATAAACATCCGACCAACCATCTGCCGCTCTTTCTTTAAATTCAAATATTTCACTACAAAAGAAAAGAACTAATTGTAAGGAGTCCTTTGCAAGAACATTATTTATAAAATAAAAAGAGTTAATGTGCGAGCAAACAGGAGAGGTCCACAGTGCTTAAATAATAGTAATAATTGCCACTGTTGGAGATCAAACATTGCTCCATCAAAGTTGCGCGGTGCAGGTTGTCGGGCAAAAAACGTGTTGACTGAGTGACTTGAGCATGCATAATCATAATTACTAACGAGCTGCTACACATATGGCCGGCCTGACATTCAATGACCTCAAAAGCTCAATCGGACTGCAGCTGCCGAGCACACAAAAAATGCACATCAAATTAATGTCAATAGAATAAAAGAAATAGAAAGCAATGCACCTTGGTTTTTGTTGCGTTTTGACTTACTTTAAAAAAAAAAATCAAAAAAATTGTCAGCAATTATAAAATTAACTGAAATGTTTGTGTAGGTTTTCCGCTATATTAAAGTTACTTTAATAATTTTATTTTCGTCATTAAAAATGATTATAAGATGTCCTTTAATTATACCTGTCATTTTCTGTTTGTAGCAGCAGAAAAATGACAGAGGATTGTGAGACGGGCGAACAATGCCTCGACCATGAAACGGGCGAGCACTGCGCTGCCTTCACGTCTAATCAGGTGAGCAACTCTTAATGTATTGTACTATGTTGTGTGCAGTTGTGTGTGTTTTTCTCCTTTGACCTTGGAAGCACGAGATTCGCTGCGATTTATTCCTCAATTTCTTTTTTTTTTTCCATCAAAACCTTCCATCATAATTATGAAATATCTTAAATATTAAAGATTCTCGCTTTAATGTATGCAACACGCAAGGCACTGCCGATATTTTGCATAAATTAGTAAAGAAAATGTAAGTAATGAAGTGTCGGTTGCGTAGATTTTTTGTTTGCATCACTCGATTGATTTGATCTTATCAAGATAAATTATCTTTTTTGCGTAATAGCATTGAGTAATAACGGCACTCAACGCTCGTTATTAAATAAGAGCGACTATTTACATGTCTTGAAAAAAATTATAAATCAGTTTATATATTTTTTTTTTATTAATGTTTCATCAGTGTAATCCTTAATTTAATGCATCGTTATAAGTTTATTGAGGTGTATAAGGGTGATTTGTTTATATATCTAAAGAAAAAAAGAGAGAAACATTTAACATAAACACACACGAGAAAGAATATTTTCATATACTTGAAAATTTATAAATAAAAACCAATCCTTTGATTAATTTTTCATCATGAGTCCTTGTAAAACGAATTAAAACTGCTTTTGAAAACTTAAATCTAAAACAAGATTTGGTACATATTCTATTCTTTAAAGCCAAGTTTTTTCTCGCACAGTTTCAGTAAAACCATGTAAAAACCTCTTTAAAAAGATAATTTAATAAATTGATGCTTGTTCAACATCATTAAATTTATTAAATTGTCAATAGATTTAACTGCCAAATTACAAAAATCTCTATATTGTATAAAATTTTACTATGTTATTTTGATCACTCTCCTCCTTTCCTTTTGTAATTTTTTAAGTAGAATAAACAAATTATAATGTTGACATTTTTACTCGGCAGGTGCTAGTGGCGACGGACGCGGAGACGGGGGAGCGCGAGTGGCGGAACGCTTCGCGGGCGGCGCCGTCGTCGGGCTGCGGGACGCACACGTTCCACGTACCGCGCTCGCTGCTGGCCGAGGAGGACGCGGCGCCGTTGGAGGACGGCCGGTACCGGGCGTACTTAGCGTGCGTCGGCGTCGCACTGATTGTCTTTCCCTCTGTCACAGTGGCCGCGTGCTTCTTGAGCGAGGTGCTGCTGCACTGCTGGCACCACCGGCTGGTGCGCAAGGGTGCTCGACGCCGCCACCTGCCCTGTCTTCTGCAGCCCATGCAGCAGCTCGTAAGTGCGTTCTGTGCAGACTGCCAAGCTGACCGCTTCTACCGCACCGTCGACCAGAAGCGCAGGAACCGCAAGTTGAACAAGAACGCCCAAGTGCTGCTCACCGGCTCCGTCTCTTGAGCTCCAGCCTCCGCGGTGACCAATTCGGTGCATTTTATTGAAAAATAAATTAATAAATGCAAGAGGGAAATTATATCTCCTTCATAGGAGGTCAATCGAAAGCGACCCTCTGGCTCTCTGGTCTTTCAGAGTTTTCGAGCGCGGTTGGTTTTGTACATTTTTCTTTTCTTCAATACTCATTTCGATGAGTTCAGAGATGCATTTTGTTTGTACAGTCTGTGTTTCTGTGCTGTTCTTAAGGTTCCTCCAGGTGCAAGCCCTCTCCTTCTGTGGTGGCGTGCTTAACTTAATATTTCAATTAAATGTTGTATTGGTTAAGAAAATTTATTGTGCTTTATAGTTGCATTGTTTGAGATCTGATCACGTTCGTGCCAAAATGTAGAAATGTAATGTTGCTATTTTTGTAAATTTTGCAGCACAAAATCTTGTTTCTTCAGACTGATAACAAGGGTATGAAATCTGTTGACCCAAAATAAAAAGTTTTTGATAAACCCAAAAACCTCTTTCTTGATTGATGCCAAACTTGCTTGAGCTTATAAAGAGAGAAATATTTTCAAAGGAATGTTGTTTTATTTAATTTTTAGTAAATCTGCTTAACACCATAAGAATAAAATTTTCTCTAGTTGAAAATTTAAAAATACAGTTTTAATATAAGAAAATGTAGTTTTATAAATATTTCTTTCTAAAATTTTAATTCAGTTGATACTTACATTGCTAACTCTCCTATCATTCCAAGATATTTGAGAATTTCCTAAAATGACAACAGTTTTATTGTGTGGCGTGCATTCACAACATTAGCGATTATGTAAATTATTTTTTATCAATTGAAATTTTTTCCGTGTGTAGATTTTTAACAAACAAATTGTGTAGAGGATGAAAAAAATTGAAATTCAATGCTCACTTTCAAAAGATTTTTAGAATAAAGTGTTCTTTTTATTGGCAAAAAAATAAACCATGAGAGAGAGTTTTTAAAAGATACAACAACGATGTAAATTTTTGCAATAGTAAATTCCATTAGTTTAAAATTGATCTACTTTGAAAATTCAAAATAAATTTCTTTTATTAAAAATATAATTAATATTTTTGTTTCTAATGTGCCAAATTGTTACATCACATTAACCTTCGTTTTGTTTAAAAAGTGGAATTGTTGAACAATAAGGCACTATCACCACCAGGAAGAATTTTGCTAAATTTTGCGATATAAAAATCCCCATCTGCCGCTGAGAGTGAGCTTTGCTTGCCTTATTTTTATTTTCAATTATCATCATAAATTTTGCGACAAGTATGCCTCAAGTACGCAGTATACAGTTAAAAAACAAAAAAATTAAATTTAATAAAAAAAAAATTTACTTCTTTTTAATTTGATAATTCTTTTGAAAGTTTAATAAGTTTGTTTTAATGTAATAAAATACGTGTAACGTTAAAATAATCTTAAAATGGAAAGCGATACAAATTTAATTGAAATAATTGAATATTCAAGAAATCTGCAGGCATATAATGTATTTTACAAGAATATTGATATAATAGGATGTTATCTGCAGTATCCGCACACGTTTCCCTCGGTCCTTCTTTTCAAGCTCTGCAATTTAATTGCCGGATGGAAACGATTCACCTGGTTGCCGCACGGTGCCGTTGGCATGCACGAACACGCAATGTTTTCGTTCGGAATGTGACAGGTTGGAAGCGAGTCGAGTTTTGCTCTCCCCACGTGAACCAAGCAGCCGAGATTTCTTTCTTTCGCCGTCGGGCTGGGATTTCTCTCCGGCAGTCAGTTGGTCGGTTGGTGCTGTTGGTGCTCAGGTCGGCGCCCGCGAATGCCGAATCTCGCTGTCCGAACCATGCGACTCTAACTGTGTGTCCGCTGCTGGACCAGACAATCGGCACACCTGTGGATTTTGCGATTTCCAGCCTGGATTTGTGTCTCGAGGTGAGAGTTTCTGTTTTTTTTTTTCAATTCTCGGTTGCTTTCGATCTCGCTTTTCCTGGAAGTGGGTTGACTGACACTCGCAAAACAACTCGCTCTTCTTTCTTTTTCTCATCTTTTGTACCGAAATCCGTCCGCGAAATCAAACTGTCGTCGGGGCTCTTTTCAAATCTCGACATCAAATCAAAAGAAGTTGCAAATTTTTTTGTCCAGCTTAAATGAAAAAATATTATGCATCTGTCGTAGGCTTTCTATTTATCTCTTTTTTTACCTTTTTTTAAGTCAATAAGTGAAGAGAAAAAAATTGAAATTAAATTCTTATTAGCACTAATTTTGCCATTGCATATAAAAATTCTGAAACTCATTTTGCTAAATTAATTAATTAATTAAATTTGTCGAAATTTTTGTATTAATTGTATTTTTTTGATTTGATAAAGTTCATTTTTGTTTTTAATTGCAAAAAACCTGTCATTTTCAACAGCATTATTATTTTTTTGATTTTTAATTATTATTTTGAACATTGATTTATTTTTGCTTTCATTAAAAGTTCACATCTGATGATTATGCCCTCATCATTTTTTAGTAAATCAAAGTTGCTCTCCAGATTTTTGCAATTTATAATGCAGAGAGAATCGGTACGAAGTGAACATACATAGGCGAGTGCAGGCAATGACCCTCCCTGATCGGTGTGGTCACTTCCAAGGTCATTACACCTCTTTGCTCTTTCTCTCTGCAGCATCTCTCGCACTCGCAATCTGCGAATCGTCTCATACAGCATGAAATTTGCCACGAATCATGACAAACAATTTCATCCTGCATCGAAAGTATTATGGAAATATTTACGCTTCAAAATAAGTTGAATTTCTCTCTCTTTCATCTCAAATTTTGCTTTATTTTTCATTTAAAAATCAATTATATTTGTATGATTTTGTTTGTTAGTAACAATGATTAATAAATCTGTCAGCCTCTAAAATTTTTTGTTCAATATTAATTTAACTTTCAATTTTACAGACCCCAGAAATTTTCTTTCAAAATGCGTATGGACCGCTTTAAATTTTTATTGGTTCTTATATTCTATGAATTTCCCCCTAGTTATTTAATTATTAACGTTGTTTATTTGTCCAAATTGTTACACCACATTGTTTTGAAAACTTTTATTTGTGAGAAAAAAAGTAATTGTTGGACAAAAAGGCACCACCACTAACAAGAGTTTTGTTAAAACTTCCGAGATCAAAAAGACCCCATCCACCGCAGTGAGCCTTATTTTATCATTACATTTCATCATCTTATTTTTGTGCACTAGAAGTTTTTAAAATTGAATTTCCGCCTTGTTAATTTTATGATTCCTTCCTTTTATCTCATTTTTTTGCTATAATTAAAAATGAAAATCGCTAGTTAAAAATAAATCTTCTTTCAATGTTTTCCTAGAAATTCTGAATTTAATTTTTTTTTTCATCTTTCGGTATTAATTCAATTTTCACTTTCGCAACTAATTTTTTCAATCATTGTGCACAACAGGTGTTGAATGACAATGTCGGAGTTTGAGAGAATACGACGGGCGTGTGTGAAACGCGGCGAGTTGTGGGAGGACCCCGACTTTCCGGCAACCCAGTCCTCCGTCTTCTACCACCAAACACCACCCTTTCAATTCGTGTGGAAGAGGCCTCACGTGAGTACCAAATTTGTATTTATAATTTTTGGCACGGGCAAAACTTTTTAGATTAAAGCGTTAAGTCCATATACTCGAATTAGCTCGTTATGATTAATTATTCGAGCTAAATTTAATTTGGTTATAATTTGTGTTCCGGTGACTCTGACGCAAGCAGGAGAATCGTCTCGGTCAGGCAAGTTTTGGGTTTGAGATCAAAAACCGGCTCTTGTTTTGGCTCGATGACAGCTTTTGTACAACAAACACACGATTTACGTCTATACCAAGAATTTCTATGAATAAAGCAAATTATAAATTATATCTCGACCAATCCAATCAATTCCAACAGATTTTTTTTTTAAGAATTTCCAAACGTTTCATTTTATTTTGAATACCATTTTATATTTTATAACAACAGAAACATAAAAAGAAAGTTCTTAATCGGATCACGATTCCAAAACTGAATTATTTGGTTTTTTTTTTAAATTAAACACATTTTTCAATTCCAAATGAAATATCAATCTTAGAAAATGATAAATTTACAAATTCCTAGTCTTCTAAATTTTTGAATTATTTGGTGCCCTAATTTATTTATTGCATATTCAGCAAAAAATAAAAACTTTATTTGTGCTACAATAAGACAAATTTTGACCTGCATTATGAATAGCCTAAAAAATGGGTGGTTATTGTCATTTTTGATGAAAGGGTAATAAAAAAATGAAAATTTGTCCGCGCCTTCGTGCAGGTGGGCTAAAACTGAAGGCTCAAATATTTCACTCGCACAAGATAGAAGAGCCGAGGGTTCCCCTGAGGTGCGGCTGACCGCAAGGAATCTTAATTACGCACCTATCCTTCCGCGCCAGCCGTTGCCTAGATTGCTGCATTGTAACCTGGCTGCCCCACAAAATGCACCTGAGAGCAGGAATTAAATAATCGCGTTCACCTGCCGCCTGCAGAAATCAAAACAGGATCGTCTGCTCATGACAATGAGTCGCTTGAACTGTTCAGTAATTATCGCTCAATTAACTCAACACACGATGCGGGTAAAAAGCTCAGGGTTCTTTTATTTGTTGTTGAATAGTTATTAATTCTGGATTGGTTGTCCATTGGAAGTGAGAAATTTGTTATTTATATTTTTTTGTTATATCATCAGACAATTATTGCCAAAATACATAATTTATAAATTTAAATTTCAAACACTATTGAAATTACAAATAAAAAGGAAAAGAATATTTCATCAAATTTTTTTATAGAATATATATATTTTCTGATAAATTTTTGTTAATAGTTTCTTTTTCTTAAAGTTTTCAGACATTTTTGGCATTATCATTGATTTGCAATTGCTGTTTTTATTTTTTTATTCATCAATCTGCACCACTTGACGAAAACGTCGACCGTTGCTATTACTATTTCTGCGGCGCGACAAATCCTTTCAAAATGCCAGAGGCCGAAATAATAAAAGTGCCTGTGTGCAATTCACGCGTGCAATCCTCCCCTCGAGACGATCAAGACAAAAATAAAAATGCCATCAGTCAAGCGGTGATTGATCCTTGGTGGCGCCGGCGTCCAAATGTCAAAATATCACGTTTTGTAACAAATTGTATAAATAATAGCTCTGATTTGAGATATCTCTCACCTCTTTTTTATCTGCCTCACGTAAAAGGCAGACGCGCGACAACTTTTTGGCACCGATTCAGATTTTTTCGTTTTGGGGAGCTTCTTTTCGTCTGGCCCAGACTTAAATGTCGTCTGTCCTCACGCAGAGAGGGTTTATGTAGCTAGTGACTTTGTTTTTTCTTTTCGTTCAAGGTACTCATTATTATTATTTTTTTTTTTCAAATTGGCATAATATAGCAGATTTCGTTGCAGTAATTATTTTTTTAATTTAACATGGTAATTTTGGGGGTTAAAAGCTTTTTGAATTTGATTTAAAAATGTTATTTTGAAAATTCATAACTTTTTTTTTTAATATTTTGTTACTCTTCAGTTTGAAAATCCTTATCGTAAAATTAAAATTTTTATAACTAATTTTAAAAAACTTTGTATTCAAGCTGGATTTATTAAAGCATAATTAATTCCTCTTTTTAGAAGTGAAGCTCACAATCAGATATATTTCTCAGTGACTTGTGTAAGATTGCGTTTTTTTCTTCTGGTATTTAGTTAAAGAAAAAAAACAATAATTTATCCTTTATTACATTTTTAGATACAATTAATCTGATGTATAATTTTTTTTATTTATAAAATTAAAACATAATTATTTTTAACGAAGCAAGTAATTCATTTTTAAAAGTTTCAATTCAATTAAACATGAAATCCGCCTCAATTGTGAACGTTTGAAATAAAATTAATTAAAACGATAGAAATACCAAGAGGAATAATTTTAAATAAGTAAAAATATTTTCTGCTCCTATTGCAATTGTATTATCTGCAAGGTGTCGTCGCTTTCAAGAGCTTCACTACTTTACGGATAGTGTGAGCTAATTTCAAGCAAGAAAGCGACACATTAGTTTTGTTTCAATCGTCCTGTGATTTCTCCTAATGCCGCCACGCATGCTGGACTTGTCTGAGACTTTCCTCCACATGACGATCCGAAAAATAAAACAACCGAAGCACAAACAAAAGTCTCCTCTCGAACCGTCTTTCTTTCTTTAAATTACACATTATTTTTTTCCATAATGCATGATGCGTCTGTCTCAGGTGGGAGGAATTTTTCCTCTTCTCATCGCGGCACCGCGGCTGGAGCACGTTTTCCTCTCCGGGAACCTGCTAACCCACATTCGTCTGCTCGCCGCGCATTGTTGCGAGCGACGTATGAATTTTTTCATTATTTTTATTCTCATTCGGACGCGGACGAATCACACGGCGTACACGCGAGCAGTGCAAATTTGCTCACTCTCGCCGAACCAAAGGAATCCGCCGCGTTAATTTTACAGCCTAGAACTAAACGAAGAGAAGTAATTGATGGCGACGCTCTTGACCCTGATTTGCGCCGCCTAAATTCCGATTTTGTCGCTTGTTTATTGCTGACACCTGCGGAATTAAATGATCTTTGATCCCATATCCGCGGGTCGATAACAGGACTGCGATCAATTCACACGAAATTTGATTTTCTAATTGATGAATCTCAAGACAAGATGATGGAGAAGATAAAAATATGAAATTTCCTTTCAAATCTCCCTTCATAATTGTTTAATATTATTTATTGAACTCATCAGAATCTAATTAAAACCGTTTTCCATGTAGTATTGAACCTGAAACTTAAAATTTCCCACACCCAGAAACTCCTTAAAATTTTAAACAAAACTCGAAAAAAGACATATTTTTATGGATTATTGCCCGGCGTGTATATGATGCGTCTAGTTTTAGATTCAACGGTCTCAAGGAGTACACATTCCCGTTGATGCCGGTTACGGAAAAGGTAATTGAACCGACGGCAGCGAGCTCTATAGCGAGTGCAGCAGGAATAATGGCAATAAAATTAGGCAGAGGATGGATGTTAATACACTCTGACTGCGCACTGCGTATTTCTATTATCATAATCATTGTTGTGCCGTGAGAAGAGCCGGCAAGAACGTCAGTAGCTCAGCGATTGCTAATTCTCCAAAGAGCGGCGCAGGGCACGCAAGTCCTCTCTTCTTCACATGTACAGCTATAGTGTGATGCACATTTCAAATAATGCATCTTTGTCAGCTTCATGTACTAACTTAAGCTTTTGATCTTTGCCTCATCACAATTTCTTTCTCACCAAAAATAAATTAAAAATCAAAAACACACGACTCGACTGCAAATTCTTTTAAGGTTTATTTATTGATAAATTTTATTTGGCAAATATGGTTGAAAACAAATGAAGATGTTCGCATAAAAAAAATCAAGCTTAATTATATGTTAATACTTTTAAAACTGTCGTTCTCAAATTCACAGTCACGTAAATTTGTCTTATTTTATAAATGAATTAGAAAAAAACTGATCTTTATAAAAATAAGAATTTGATGAAAATACAAAAATAGCAATGTATTATTATTATTCACAACACAAAATTTGGGCAATTTATATTCATGAGGCTGCATGAATCACTCTCCAAAATTTCTGTTATTACTTCTAAATTATCTTGAATCGCTTGTTATAATTGTATAAGCTTCTTCAGGTTCAGAAACCGCTATTGAAATTTCTCCGTAGTTCAAAAGTATGCCTTTTACGGCATGTGGTCCTCGATTAGCGAACAATAATTGGCGAACCTTGAGAGGGTGGGGAGTAGAGAGAAGTTGGGTGTGGTGCAAATAAATATGCGTGCTCTGGTGACGTAGACCAGAGAAACCTAAACATCTAATGACCCCTAAGCACTGCTAGCCACCGTCCATACCCGTTTTTGTTTTGTTTAAGAGAAATTTGGACGTGACATGAAACGGTTTCTGAAGACGAAGAAAAAACACTTTCCACGCAAATAAAGAAACATTACCTGGGGCAAAAAATTTCATATTTCATCCACGCCGCCGGAAACGCCACTACTTTCTTCCTCTTGGCTCGTTATGCCATGTTATGGAATATAATTAGCAGCTTTTATAAAAGTGTCACGTCGTGGAAAGCTCCGCCGTGCCTTTGAATGCTGCTTGGAGATTCCTCCGCTGGAGAATTTTGTTTTTGGCCTTATCGTGCATTCAAATCGCCTCGCGGCTTTATTGTTTCACTTTCTGACGCATCATAATTAAATTTTGCGGTAGTAAACAATTCTCAGCACGTTCCCCTCGGCAATTCTGAAAAATGCAGACGTTTACTAGGAATTTTAATTTATTTGTAAAAATAAGCTCATCATCCAATTTTTCCACGCATTTGGTCCACCTCTTTATAAAAAGTCATTATAATTGACATAAATCAATTAAATTTAAAAAATAATATTTTGTAAAAAATCTGTGATTGAAGGTAGCTCAAATTGCAATCTTTTTGTTGCTGCACCTGCGGATTAAAAATAACCAGGCCTGAACGTTTTAAGGTCCCATAATGTCCCCGCACCGTTTTTATCTCTTTAGCCGTTTGGTTCCGTTTTCAACTCTTATTTCTCACGCTCCTTAGGGAGCTGAACTTTTATATATTGGTGGGTTGCATGTGTCCTGGGAAATATGCTAATTAACAAGGAAACAACTTACTTATTATACGACCGTGAAACTTCTTTCATTCAGAATCGAGCTCAAAAGATTGATAATTGTAATTATTTTTCTAATCTAGAGATCAATTGAAATTACAAAATTTTGTATCTTAGCCATTAAAAGGTTATCACAAGCAGCTCTTTTAATTTAAAACTTTTAAGAATTTGTCACTATAATCTATGATAATGTCGTTGATCGTATTAGACCTTTCAAGGCAAATCGGGGTCTGCGACTCTTGATGCGTGAAAAATTGAAAACATGGGCGTACGAAGAACAGAAATCATTCAAGTGCAAGATTTTTAAGCAGGTGCGAGGCGAATTCACACTTTTCTCTTCTTGCTCCCAGCAGCGAACTTGGTGACTGGCCCCGACTGATTTTTGCTCCTTCTTTCCTCACAATCAGTCAGATGAATTTATATTTTGATAAAATACAAAAAGCAAATGAAAGGAGGCGTGTAAAATAAAATATGGAATTATGTTCGCAGCTGCTTGGCACTCTAAAACAACGCTCTGATGCTCATATGCATGCGCCATTTACTTTTGCAACTTCTCTTTTTGCTCTCTTCTAGTCCGAGGGGCAGCGACCAGTTCTTGGTGGAGCGAGTCAGACGGGTGCAGCACGCGATTCTCTTTATTTTGTTTTATTGCCAGTGTCTGTCGGTGTGTAATTTACTTCTCCGACTTCCATATAAACGCCCACGCAAGACCGAATGGACTTTTTCTTTCCTGCTGTTTCATATTTGATTCCAAGAAAATTATCAATATCATTTTATTGAACTTAATAAAAAATTAGAAAATTTATTAGTTGGAGAAATAAAATCGATAGTTCAATAAAAAGTCAATTAGAGAAAAATTAATTGCTTAATGAAGAACTTTAAAGTTAAAAATAAAATTATTTATGACTTCCTTTCGAACGTTTTACAAAGTCCTTCTGTGGTCTCTGTGGTTTCCTATATTTTGTAGCTTACATTATAGTACTATGCTCCAGGGTGATTTTTTTTCGCATTTTCATTGAATTGGGCCAGACATTCAGCAAAAAATATTTCACTCTTTCTCTCTTTGTCTGCCTGGAAAAAACACTTTCGCTGTTGCCAAGGATACGGTGCACTCTCCGTGTAGGTCTGCGTTTTTCATATAGCAGAACACAAGATCAGGTTAGGCCAGTCCTTGCACCGACCGACACGTAGAGTTGGCGGCGCATGTGGGAGGACGACTTGTGCCGCGCGCTAGTTTAATGTGCACTTATGAGCGTGATTTGGTGCCTTTCGCGTGCTGTATTGAACCTCATGTACAAAGGATTTGGAAATTTTCCAATCATTCTTTCCATATCCTGAATCCTAGATTAGAAATCTAAATTCTGATCTTATTGTCACCTGAATGACTCTAGTCATATAAAAATTATTTTAATGGTCATGGACTATGTAGCACAAGAAGTGCAATTAGAGAATTATTATTCATCAAACCTAAAAAGACACAAATTATCACTTTTAAATTGAAAATTGAGTGCACGCATTATTATTATAGAAAGATCTGCGTTGATAGCCAATCGATTGTACTTGAATGCCTGCGTTGCCTTGAAAACGCAGTCGATTTTTACAAGCCGAGCGTATCGAGTGGCGGACAAGTAGGTCAGTTGCATGCATGCAGTGTGTGCTGTGAGATAATAATCGCAAGCTAATTGAAACGTATATTGTTTTAATTGGGCGTTCAGTATATAGTGGTTCTCATCGGCGCTTCATGTTTTTGTTCTGCAGGAATTGTGCAGCAGACCGCTCTTCGTCCACGATGCCCCCTCCCAGTTTGACATCGTTCCTGGCAAAATGGGTAAGAAAGAAATTATAAATCATCTCCATCTACTATTAATAATGCCTTAGATAACTGTTATAACTTAACTTAAAATTAAATGGATAATAAATAAAATAATATTTAATTTAAATTGTAATTGAAATATTTAAAGGATATTCAAATTATACATTTTTTTTTCTTTTTAGTGAATATACCGCCGACAATTTGCATCTTAATTTTTAAGGCGTCCTAATTTATTAAGACGATCAATTATTACATTCACTGATTCACCGCATTTGATATAAATTTAAAAAAAAAACGCCAAAATCTAGGCTTCAACCTAAATCAATCAACGTGCCAAGTCTCGCGTGCCTTACATGTAGTGGTCCTTTCTCTGACGGACACTCCTGCCGCCACTTTTTTGGCGACGTGTCCCAGAATCTGCATATACGCGTGTCTTTTTTTTATACGTAGGGCCGATTTCATTGATAACAATGTGAGGCGTTCCTCGCTTGTGTTCTGGGTCAGCCTCTCTCGTTGCAAAACAATCTCAAATGTGTGCGACGTTTTTTCAAAACAAAAGGTGCGCGTGCTTCCTTTTTCTCATTAATTCGACACCCTTGATAAATAATGAAAGTAATTAAATTCAATTCACAAGAAGTGGGCCGATCGGATGAAAATTGCCGCACTAGCCAAAAGCGCTTGCCTGTCAGAGGGCTGCGGTCAGAAAATAAACCTCGCACGTCGCGTAGAGTGGCTATTTATTTGCTGCCGCCCAGAAGCTGATGGATTGCCAGCGACAAAGACGTCAAGTTGAATTCTTAAAAAAATCACACCTTTAATTAACATTCATTATTTTCTAACCAAATAAATTAAACACAATTTTTTTCCTATTGTATGCTATTTTCTTTTTTACTATAGATGATTTTTTTTAAATTTTTTTTTTTAAATATCTCTATATATTTTGAAATTTTTTACTATGGCATTTAGTTCAAAATTAGGTTTGTTATGTCCACACGGGGCAGCCAATATTTACTTGATAGTAGAAAAAATTCCCAGAAGCTCCAATTAAACATAAATATATTTGTTTTTTCTCTTCTACAAACTGTTTGATGAGTCAATTTTGGGATATCAGAGTTGTTTACTTTAATTACTCCTTTTCAACCTTAGACCATTTTGAACTTTCATTTTTTTTCTCTGGCTGTGACCGCCTCTCTGCCAGTCTGAACCGACATAATTGTGTAATTATGGCAGAGAACCTCTACTATAATTTCAATGATCCCTTAATTGGACCCAAGCCCAGTGAGAAAAGGTATGAGTTGACACGCGGGAGCCTGTTTATTTTGAGTCAACAAATCAAGGTCGCGGCCATTAGAATATTGGTGGCTGGTGCGCACCAATCTGAATGGATTTTGAATTTGAGGTCATCGCGACCTGCAGAAAGATCTCTTCAATAGTGAGACGGCCTCTGGCTCGTGCTAGAAATTCCCAGCACTATAAGTACCTCGTCTTATCGCGATTTTTACCGCGCTCATGCAAACATGTAGGAAAAAAATAAACGCATACCGTTGCTAGCACACAAAAACTCGCAAAAAGTGAGCGCCGTCGTGGGGCCAAATTATGGTATTTTGGCCAGGTTGCGTATGCAGATAAGAATCCACGTTCGTTTTGGGCTCGGCAGTCGCATTAATACCTGTTTTGTTATGCCCCATCATTTCTCCACAATAACAAGCCTTTGTTTTGAGAAATGGCGAGGTGGAGAGGAAGGACTGAGACTAATTGACCACAGGCTCAGGTTTAGAAATTCTCGTCCTCTCTATTAAGAAAGATAAGAAAGTAAATTTTGATTGGAGAAAATTCTTCTAACAAATTATGATCAGTGATTTTTTTGTGATATTCAACCTGCTCATTTTATTTTATGATCTTGAGATTTCACCAAATTTTTATAGAAGCCGAAATTAAATTAAATATTCTGTATACACAATAAGTATTTTCAAATTGAAAATAAATTTTCCTTTGTTTTTTTCCCCAGGTGACAAATGGTTGGTGGCGTGCCTGGGCGTGCTGTACCTGAGCAAAGGTCTCTTCTACCGCGTGGTGCCCGCCGACCAGGGCTTTGACCAACACGGGGGCGTGTTCCGCTTCCGTCTTTGGTGGTGCGGCGAGTGGACCGAGGTGCTGGTCGACGACCGCTTGCCCACCGTCCATGGAAAGCTGGCATTCCTGCAGGCCTCACTCTCGGACCAGTTTTGGCCCGGCCTGCTCGAAAAGGCTTACGCCAAGTGAGTATCATCAAAAATAGACTCTTTGTTCCCTTTTTTATTTATAGACGGAATTAAAAAATTCAGCTACTTTTTGTGGCAATTAAAATATTTGGTAAATTTTATATTTAAATGGAAGGAATAATATATGTGGGTTGCTAAACATAAATTATATCTAAATTTAATCAATGTTTGCAACAAAAGTCAAAATCTGTTACAAGGATAAATTTTGTTTCCCTTGTAGAAGAAATATTGTACTAAATTTCGGGCCTCTTTTTAAAATATTAGCACAAGATAAGTTTCCCTCGTATTTTCTTTTTAACTTGATTTAAAATCTTTCCGGCTCGTTCGCCGGTCAGAGAAAAATTGTTGTTCGTTTCTCTCTAGCTGATCACTAATGAGCGATTTTTCACAGTCTGCTTCTTTAATCTGCTCTTCGTTTTCTACTTATTGATTTACGATGGTCGAAATATCTTGTCCGATGGTGCGTGAAAGCGCGGGTGTGCTCCATTAAAAAAGAAACCGCCCTTGTTTTGATCGGGGTTTTGAATTCGCGCAGCTCAAGGCAAGTTGACCATAAATCTCCGTAAACCGACCCTATCTTACGTTAGCTTCATTGCGAGAAAATCTAGGGTGTTTACAAAACAAAGAGTCGCGTTACAATATTCCAACTCGAGTTTCAAAAGCCGGAGTGAATTCAGTTCTTCTCGCTGATGAGGCCAAAGGTTGATACTTAACGACCTACGACCGAGGCAGGTTAATTCTTCCTGTCAAAATTCGCCAACGCCGTTATTGTGTGCGTCCCTCTTTTACAGCATTTTTATCTCAGCTGGCGTCATCGCTTGGCTAGACAATGTTTCCTTTTTTTGCACACAAAAACACATACGCGGAGGCTGCTGTGCGCCGAGCAGGAGAAACCAACCGGCGGCGAGAAGAGATACATCATTCGAGTGAAAGAGTGAGCAAGAGAGCGAGAGAGAGAAACAAAATCACCGTTATTGCGTACGCGAACGGAGCAGACCTTAAGTGGGTCTCTCGCCGATGTTGTTTTGATGGACACTTAGGAATTTTTATTATTCGGCGCGTTGTCGCCCAGTTTTTTTTACACCAAAGATGCGAGGTATGGCAAATTTAATTGTATCAATAATGGCACTGCTACTGGTTTTTAAAAGTACAGAGAATAAAGGTGCGGTAACATTTGCTTGACGAGTTAAGCCATTAGCAAAATTGCAATTTTAAATCAGAGGTTAGATTCCAAACAAGCAATTAGTATAAAGTATGACTGATAACAATTTTTTTCATTTTGCTTCAGTCTACTTCAATAATTAATTGCATTTAGTTCACGTGTAAATTAATTAAAAAAGGGGCATTTTAAATTAATTTTGATTATATTTCATTTACTGAAATTTGAATGAATCCGCGATTGACGTTTTAATTTTCCTAATAATTTCAATAAACTAAATTTTTCGCATGTCTCATTTATTTTTCAGGCTTCACGGATCGTATGAGGCCCTCAAGTACGGCTCCCTCTTGGACGGTTTGGCCGACCTGACCGGCGGCATCACCGAGAGCGTCGCCATCAGACACGACCCGACCACGTGTGGCCGCCTGCTGGCCACCCTTTTGGAGATGACCTCCATAATCACCTGTACAGTACACCCAGCCGCGCCAATTAACGGCACCCAGTCACCGCAGGTAAAATCCGAGCCGATAATTAATTGAATAAAAAGTAGATAGCGTGTGGCGTCATTTGCATGTGTGCCCCACAACAACGTCCTCCTTTGTTGGCCAGAAGTTGAAATTTATTGACAATCACAGCCGTATCGAATGTTATGATCTTTGCGTGACTTAGATTGATGCATCAAACCGTTTCTTTGGAGCCTGTTCAGTTAATATTCAACTCAATATTTAGAAGATAGAAATTTTAAATGTTCTACAAATGAAAACAAAACTTTTGTTACAAAATTTATCTCTTAAGATAATGGAATATTAATTTTTTTTTTAATGACAAGCGTCTGTAATAAATAAAATTAAGTGTGAAACAAAAAATTGTCGATTAACAAACAAAAATTTATAGCGTAAAATTTATGAAATATAGAACTATCTTGAGAACTGAATTGCCTACGGCTTCCTGCTGATCACCGGCTCATTTCCCTCCGCATCAAAGCCTCAAAATGCACATCTAAAAATGAATATTAGCGCCTGCGATTTGTTGGAAGTTAATTGCCCATGACGGCGCTGCACGTCCTAGATTAGTCCATTTTTGGCCTGATGACCGCTCTCTGATATGGAATTTTAAGGTTTATAACTGATGGATGTGTCTTTCTTATCCGCAGATCAGGCACCTCGAGAAGCTGGCCAACGGCATCCAGATCGGGACCAACTACCGCCTCTACGCCTTGGACAGGGTGAGTTTTCGAGTGTGAAAAAAAAACAGTGTTGTCGTAAATGGGAACCGTTAGTGTGTGTTTTTTTGGAGCAACTTTCGTTAGTTTGCGATGCATATCGCACCGCGAAACTGCAAGGTGCGCTGAGATCACCAAGTGTGAAGAATTTGAAAATAGAAAAAAAATAGAATAGAAAAGGCAATGACCTCGATGTTGTTTGTTTTGCGTTTTGGGATGATCGGTTTGATTTATGGGCGTTGAGATTCTGGATAATTGCACGTTTGGCGCCTGCCGAAAGTGCTACTGGTTTGATTAATTTGTATTTAGGTGCGGTTGCCTTGACGAGCAGAAAGAGAACGAAAGAAAGCATGGCACAAAAAATAATAAAGCGCATCTGCTCTCGAAACAGCTCGTTGATGAGTTTCGTGTGCGTGTGGTTTCATTACGCACTTTTTGCGCACCGGATTTTGCTTTAATTGTACACGCAACTTTCTCAAGAATTTTCGCAGCAAATTAGAGTTTTTATCCAAAAGTGACAATAATTGGAAGATCAGCCTGATGAAAATACTAGCTTTCTTATATCGCCAAGATTTTAATTTTGTTACTTTCATTACCAGGGAGATGAATTGTATTTTTTATACCATCAATATCATCGATAATTTTAAATTAGAAATCTTTTTCTGTTTACAGAATCTAAAAAAAAGCTATCGAAAATTCATTGTTCTAAAATTTTCTATCCTTCAGTTTTTAAATTTATTTTGTAATTTTTTTTTGTAAAACAAACTCAACATTAAAAGATAATTCTAAAATTTTTTCTCACGTTATTAATTTCAAGGGCGTTTCCTTCATTATTTTGAAGTAGGTTTGGGAACATTTTATTATAAATAAAAATTCCGTTTCCATAATCTCTTCTAAGTTGCATCAAAATCAATTTACCCGCAGGATCTTCACCTAAAGTATCACCGCGATTATAATTCAAACGCTTACAAAGTGCCTGGAAAGTCAAAACACAAGTGAATAATTCAAAAGCACAATGCGCCGCCGCCGCTTGGCTGATGTGTGTTGTTATATGGAGGAAGAGAGGTTAATGCATTTCATGATTATACTTCTCCCCTTTTCCTGGCGCTCAGAGGAGTACCAGGTTAATGGCCTGCTTATAAACCAACTTTTATTCCCGCATCATCCATCAGATGAATTTTGCGTCTGACAATATGATCTCGCGAGAAGTGCATACCAAAGGAGAAACCTTCCAAGTTCTCTTCCTCTCATTCTTTCTTTCCAACGCATGGAATTTACATGCAAGGCGCAATTGAACTTCCTTTTCGGGCTCGAGACACCCGCCGGAGACGGTGTCCAATCAAATGAGCACGAGTGTCGCCGAAAAAGGAACTCGTCGTCGCTCACTCGCCTGCTTCCTTGACTGCTAATTGCGATCACCGCCGTTGGCCAATTGCATTTTGTTTTTACTTTTTCCACGGCGTGAATTGTTAAAATGTGTGTTTTGCAAGAGGAGCTGCTCGTGCGCAGCGAATTGATAATTTTCGCAAGGTGGATTTCCTTTCTTGCAATGAGCACCACCCAGTCTTCACGCTTCCGAAGATTGAAAATAAATTTTTGCCATTTGCTTCCGGCTTCGTTTCTCAATGGAAATTATTCATTGCGAATTTCTAGGGAGCCGTCGATAATTAGAAGCGCAGGAAGTGCTTCTTATCGCGATGTCCCAATTAATCAGCACAATTAATTCGGTGTTTGCACCTGGCCGAGTTCTCTCGTTGCGATTATCTCCGCGCGCACACTCCTCTCGTCCATCCGATTCTCTTTTGCTTTGTTTTGGAAAGAAGCCCACAGCCCGAGAGAAATAGATTTTGCCGCGGCTTGACGTCAATTATTTTGCCACTTGAAACAGACAATTACCCTTCTAAACGGTCCAAGTACCGCAGTGCTAATTTTGAAGCCAGCTAACAAAATAGCTAAATTTTCGAAAGTGCTAAACGTTGCACTAATAACACTCTTGGTCAGACACTGATTTATTTTGATTAATCTTGTTTTTGAATTAATAAAAAGAAAATTAATATTGCATTTAATTTATAGGTTGAGACGTTCAATGGTGAAAATGTGCAACTGGTCAGACTGAGAAACCCAACTGGTGTGGGCAGCGAGTACGTCGGGGCCTGGAGCCGTGACTCCGCAGAATGGGAAGAGGTCCCTATGGACGAACGGGAAAGACTATCCAGCTTGGGTGATGGAGAGTTTTGGTAAATAAATATACCGCTATTTAATATTCCATCAATTTTGAATAATAAATTTTCAGGATTTCTTATTCGGACTTTGTAAAAACCTTCACTCATCTGGAGGTGGTGCATCTGGACAGTGATACAAGTAGAGATGAACCGTCCCTCCACCACAGAAACACGTGGCAGATGAAATTATTCCAGGGCTCGTGGCAAAGAGGGGTCAGTGCAGGTGGCTGCAGAAACAACACAGGTAATAATTTATGTCACATTTATTTAATTAAATTGCCTAAAAATTGTTTCGTTCCAGACACGTTTCACATTAACCCGCAGCTGCAACTAATCCTCAGTGATATGCAGGAGGTGGTGGTGTCCTTGAACCAGCACAGCGTCATGGAGCCCAAAGTACAAACCAATATATTTAACCCTGATGGCTACAATAAATATTTATCTTTTTTATAGGTCGTTGGCTTCACCTCATATCCTCTGCCTAAAAATTCCTCAGAGACGATCAACAGAAGTTTCTTCAAGAAGAACAAATCGCTCATAAATTCTCAATATACTAATAGTAGACAGGTATTGTCTCCAATATTTATATTCACACTAACCTCATTCAATGATTTTTTTTCTCAGGTGAGTCACAGGTGCCAGTTGGAGCAAGGCAGCTATTTGATAGTGCCAACTACATTTGAACCTGGCCAGGAGTCAAGTTTTACTCTGAGAGTATACTCCAGTAAACCTTTGAAGCTCAAGTAAGAGAGAGTTTTTCAAAATCAAGACAGTGGTTTAATATTAAGATTTTTAAGAATTATGGACACAACACCGCAATTAGTCAAATCGCCAATTCTGAAAGCACCGCCGACTCTGGATGGCAAGAGCTTCAGTCAGTATGAGGCTGTTTTCCTTCAGCTGGCTGATGAGCATCGAACAGTCAATGCTTTTGAGCTGCAAGAGCTTTTAGACGCTTGTCTGCCCAATGGTAAAATAAAATTTACTTGAAAATTATGCATGCTTAAACCTTTTTTGAATAGACTACATCAAAAGCTGTGCCTCCATGGAAGTTTGTCGACAGGTCGTTTTGGCATTGGATGTATCCTTTTTTTAAATTTTATTGTTAATGCTTTGATTGAGTGTTTCTCTCTTTGATTATATTCCTTGACCAGACAAACAGAATTCCGGCAATGGACGACTGAAGTTTTCTGACTTCAAGGACCTGATGTGTAGTCTCAAGTCCTGGCAGGCTGCGTTCAAGAGTCATACAAAGGAAAAGACGGGCATTTTAAAGGCTGAAAGACTAAGGGATGCGCTTAGTGATGTTGGTAAGTTGAAAAACATCAATATAATAGCTGTGTGTGAATTAAATTTTTTTAAAGGTTTTCAACTGAACGCAGACGCCCTTTCAATACTAATTCTACGTTACATGAGAAAAGATGGAACACTTAGATTTGGGGACTTTGTCTCGGCAATTTTGCACCTCAGTGTAGCTTTTAGTACGTATTAGCAATTATAAAAGTAATTATTTTTATCTTGAAAAATTTCATTTGCAGATATATTTGACTCGAAAGATCCTTTGCAAAATGGTAGCATCAAGCTGACCCTTTCTGAGGTAAAATTTGCAGCAAAAATAATATTTAATGCCAACTACATCTAATTTATTGTTTTATTTTCTATTCTGCAGTGGCTCAAGACGTCGCTGACTTGTTGATGTTAGCTGTACTTGTTTAGTGTATCATGTTGTTGTATTATAAAATGTAAGTACTTTTTATGCAAGATTTTTTTACCCTTGTTTTATGAGCTGAATCTCAAATTTATCAGTCTCTCTCTAAATGAAAACACATATATACAAAAAGTTTTATTAAGAATGAAAGCTCTCTTTGTAAGATTGAAAATAATGAAAGACGTTGAAAAGGTTCATAGCTGTGTATAAAATATATATGTAAAATAAATTTTAAAATATTTTGGGTATCTTAGTAAAATTCTTATTTTAATCCACTTCGAGTTTCCTGAAGCTGCCGTTTACGCCGTAAACCAACGCTGCCTCAGTGGGTACACAAACGTTCTTCGAAAGGGCTGACACGGCGCCCTGCTGCTCTTTGTCACTGAACATATGCAGGTGCACCTTCATGAAATCGTTTGACAACAACTTTGCCCTCTGCTCTTGCAGTTCCAGCTTCCAAAGCCCTAAAATATTTATTTGTTGATTTGAATAATTTCCTATTTTTTATTTTATTATTGGCTAAAAATCCCATACTGGCCATACTTATCATTTCTGCTTTTGGGGTTTGCCCTCCGTACTCTTTTGGCAGCACATTTTTGTCAATCAATCAATGTGTGTCTTCAACATTTGTGAGAACCTAAAATCAAAGTTTTAAATTTACGACCATATTTTATTAATCGCCAGGTTTTTATAAATTCACCTTAACTCTGTCCCTCATCTTTTGAGAGATCAGGGTCATTCCCCAGTCAACGACAAATTTCAACGCAGGATTAATGTTGAAGCCAATGATCATTTTGTGGCGCATTGGCAAAGTCCTCTGCAATGATTTGTTTAAATTTTTATCAGCTGAACGCCACAATAAAATAAAATTTAATATTTTACCTCGGCATTCTTTGCAATCCGCACCGCCTCTCTTGGAGTGAAAAGCGTTAAGTAAGAAAAAGACACCCCTTCGCAGTCCACAAAGTGAACAAGACCGTTGACCTGATCCTCCTCATTCTCCACTATCGTCTCGTATGCTAAAGCGTGCAGTCGGAGCATGTCTTCGTTGCGGTGCTTTTGGGGGTCAAATTTCCCTATTATTACAAGAAAGTTCCAAACATCAATTATAAAATGGTGATTTTTTAATTAATCATTTTTAACCTGGAACAGTGATGATCACGCGGCGGCCAAATGCGTCCCTCATTGGTGACGGAAAAATGTATCTAGAATAAATTTATTAATTTTTAAAGCAAATTACCCCACCAGCACCAGTATATTGTTGAAACGAAATAATTTGGGAAATTGTAAAAGACTTGTGGCCTGTAAAAGTTAATAATGGTCTCAACTAATTATTATTTAATTATACCCTGCTGTGATAAGATCATCCAAGTCTTTGGAGAAGCAATCGAGGTTCTGGAAATTCCAGGTTTGCGTGCTCAGCCTAAGCAGAAGATAGCGCTCAAGCGTTTCTTGCGCCATCGGCAGGCTCATCTTTTTGGCACGTAAAAAGCGCAGCAAAAATGAAGAATCTATAAGAGCAGATGTGAAAAAGTGTATATTTTATTTATTATATTTATTTTGAATCCCTAACCAAGCCTGCAATTGGCTATTTTTGGATTTTGCTTGATCCATCGACGAAACGCATCCAGAGCTTGCTTGCGCGAATTTTCAGTCTCGCGCAGCTCGCTTCGGGCCACTTGGATCGCCGCCGCCGACAGCACCTTTTTCTCTTCATACGCATCGGCTGAAGATACCCATTGTCCTTGTCTTCTCATCTTCTTGGAGAGTAACATATAAAGAATAATTACATTACTTTCATACGTCGTTCTTAATGCTTGGAGAAATCGTGCAGGGAATTCAGATGAGAAATCATTTACGAATAATATGTTTGCGGAAATGAAAATTAAGCGCTAATTGATAATAAGCTCCTTATTTGAACGTTAAAAATGGTGTGCATTATGTAGGGGAATATTATAGTCCAAGCGCAGTTTAAATTTATTACCAACGCGCTTCACAAATAAATTAAAAGGTTATCAACCCTGTTTTGTTATATAGAAAGGTATTAATACTCCTTTATAAGTGAAATAAAAAAAACACATAGGTATTTTATTAAATCGTGCGCACGATTAGGTTTTGCGCCGCAGAATATTACAACACATTATAATTTTTTCAATAATAAACGTGCACTGCTTCCTACTGCTTTGGGTCACTTGCATGGTGACAGATTGAAAGCCATTCACTCAGGTTGCGTTGCAAAACAATAGATCCTTAAAATGAAAAATATTTCCCCCACACCTTCAATCATATAATTACGTAGCAAGCATGACTTGAGTAAAAAAATACTTTCGCTATTGATTTTTTGTTGAAAATATTATATGAGAAATATATTGAATACATTATATTTTATACAAGTAAAATAATTAAATAAAGTAAAGAACTTTTGATCTCCAACTTATTTCTAACAAGGAGATTTGTTATAAATTTTCATGTGAGCAATGAAATAATAATAAATATCTTTCAAATAAAAAATTGATTATTCTGCTTTCACGAGATAGAATACTCTGAGAACTATCTCCAATCAGTATGCATCGCATGTGCAAAAAGCCCATTCATTCTTTTGGCAACCTTTGGCAAAATTTCAAGTATAAATTTTTTAAACGACTGCATTGTTTTCTGTCCAGACAATAATAGTGTCAATGTCAAAGATGAATTACAAAATAAATTTTTTCCCTATGAAGAAAAAAAGGAAACCATATATAGCAAAAGCTTATTTAAACTTTGAAACTAAAATTTGCTAAAATTTTCAATGGAAAGTAAATTAAGTGTATTTTTTCGTTTTTTTTTTGTTAACATAAAAATGTCAGTTCTAGTTTAAAACCAAACTAAAACAAAAATAACAATATGGATAAATTGATATTCTAAAATAAATTTAACCAAGCTTATCATACCTTGTCAGTGCTTTTTAACTTTCTAGACCCCAAAGCTGGACTGTCACGACTAGTGCCTGATGATGAACTGCACCTTCTCTCCTCAGGTTTAATTCTTTAATTGTTGTTGCAGCATTTATCAATACCCCACTCCCACTCTCTAGGCTGCAAAAGCTATATTATTGTACGTGTTTGAGTTTCTCATTATTATTCTGCTGAAGTGCGTTATGGCCATCAACAAAAACAGCGATAGTGTACGAGGTCATTGGTAAGTGTTCAATTTGAATTTATTTCAAAAAAATATTATCAGACTTTCAAGTGTAAAAAATATTTTGTACATGACTGGTTAAACTTCAAGTTAGGCCTTCCCACCAGCTTCGTTAATCGTCTCATCCATTTCAACCTCCTCAGTCAATTCCTCTACTTCGCAGACTACACTGCCCTCATCATTCTGAAAATTGTAAACAAGTTATTTTTAGAATCTAAAACAGGCTCATTAATTACCTGAGGAAGCATGACCTGCAGGCTTCCTGGCAAGCTGTCTGTCTCATTTCCCGACAACACAATGTAGTGCGATGGTCCCATCGACATTGTGTCGTCCTCACTAATCAGCTTCAGATTTGTACCTTCAATCACAAAAGTGTGATAGTCAACGTCACTATCCTTTGGCGAGCTGCTGACGGACATTGAAGAACCGTCCACATCAACTTTAGGTGCTTCAGTAACTGTTCGGAGGTGCCTCCAGATTGTGGTTTTGGGAACCTAATGAAATTTGTTATTTGACTGCAATATTGAAAAATTTGACTCACATCAAAGTGTGATGCTGCAGACGACTGTGACATTTTGCCTTCCTTGCAAGCTGCAACTGCCTGTTGCACTCTGATTTGCCTGTCCAAAACTTCCTCCAGCGGTCGCTTTTTGATCGCATCCTTCGGAAGAGCTCCTTTTTGGACCAGCTTGACCTTTTCTCTATACAGAGTTGCTGGTGGAATTCCCTAAACAAAAAGGAAAAAATTACAGAACGAATATTGATGCTTCGTTTTTAAACGTACAAATTCCTGAGCAACTTTCCTTGTCCTTTCGCCTTTTTTCAAAGCATCCACTGCTGCCATTTTTTGAGCCCTGGTGTAGCAGGAAGTTTTTATCTTTAAGCTGGAGTCGGGCTTCAACCCCTTGGAACGCCTCCACAGAACAGTTTTTGTCACGCCATAAAATTCAGCAGCTCTATTCAAAGACTGGCCATCTAAGACATTTTCTTTATTGAAATACGACATCAGAATATTCAAAAGTTCTTACTAATAACAGCCTTTATAGCTCTATCCATCTGCTCTTCTGTGTAGTTCTTAGTCTTGTCCTGCATGGCGATAACTCCACTCATCTTTGCTTTGTTATACAGGGTAGTTCGTGGAACCCCCGTCATTCTGGATGCCTGTCCAATTGATTTTCCGCTCTGCAAGAGCCTAAAACCCTCGTCAATGTCGGACTGACTATAGGAGATGCTGGATGGAGCCCTTTTATTTGGTTTAGAAATAGAAAATAAAAGTATACTGTTTAATAATTACAAAATTACCTGCAACGCTTTCCTGGAGGTCCAGTCCGAGGAACAGAATCCTTCTGTTCTTCTTCAAGCTAAAAATTAATAATTAATAATAAGAAATTATTTCCACATTACAACATCTTTTAACTAACAAGAGAATCTTTGATTTCAGGTGAGACTGTTCTGCTGGAGGTCTCTTCAATTTCATCATCATCAAACACTTCAACCTCCTGAGTCTCATCGACAATCCATGTCACTTTATCAGGATCCTTTTCCTCATTTGAATTATTGAAAACCTTTAAATTATACATTCAAATATTTTCTTCTAAAATTATTTTAATTTTTACAACTTCCGTAAATCCTGGCAGACCAGGGATGCCAAGCATTTGAGCCAGTTTGGAGAGAGACGGGAGCTGAGACATCATGAACCTTATTTCACCTCGGTAGATAAAGTCGACCAGCAATTTCAACTCTTCGATTTTTACTTCACTAGGCAAAATGATGCATGGTTCTGGAGTGTCTACCTCCATTAAAACTTTCTGTAATGCACAGATTGTAGATTAAAAATTGAAATAATGTGGGACATCATAGAAAATAATAAAATTATTATTTTAGTACAAATGTAAAATGCATAATATACTCTTTTTGTTGTTGTTAAATTTAAAAAAAAAATAATAATTATTTCCATTAAGTTCTCTGACTTTTTTAATTGTGATATGTAATCTGATCATTGCTAATCATGATTCATGATATATATTGAGTTTAAATTTGTATTTATTGAGGACAAACCTTCAGGAAGCTGCTGGTTGCTGAAAGAACCATCTTGTGCACCCTAATCTTCTCTCCGCCTGCAACCAGAGTGGTGTCGACCAACTCGCATCCCTTCATGAAGTCCGAAAAAAAGAAAGAGATGTCTGTGGCGTATGATTTCCAGACGAGTTTCTCCTCAACCTCAGCAGTGTTAGGGTTACTCGTAACCTCCAGGACAATGTTTTCCATGACGATGATTAATCTAAAAATAATAAAGTTAATCCTCAAAATAAACAAAATAAGGGCCCAAAAATTAGCTCGGCAACTTTAATATATGCTGGAATTCGGAACAATTCCACTGTTCTATGTAGTTTATGATCCAAGTAAAAAATATAGACCACAAACCACAATGCAGCAGAACGTATACGTATCTCTTGATTTCTCACGAGAAAATAAATTTGATTTTATGAACTTGCATATTTACCTACAATACCTTAAGTTCCTCAAGAAAGTTTGGCTGAAATTCGGCAAAAAAACACGACAATCGTAGATCTGTTCTTCGTTCTCCTCGTCCTTGTTTGCGTTTTTCGTGTTTTGCTTGGAGGCCTTGGAGTCGACGCCTGCGAGGATGGAATGTTTTTATTGGTCAAAGACATCGGACCAAACTCTGATTGGCTGGATGACGTGTTTACATAAATGCCAGCTGGTGTGGTAAATTTTGGGAATAATGGCACAGTGAAAGTTGACTGCCAGCATTTATTTAAACATTCTCAATTTAGTTTTATAGCGTCCCATATTGACCCTATTCTTCAAAAATTAATTAAGTTATTTATTGAAAAATGGCTGACAACAAGAGTATTATCGAGAAACAAAAAGAACAGCTGCAAAGATATGAAAAACGATTGAAAGGTAAAATACATAAACACAAAATTAAACAGTTTAAACAGTTATGTATTCAAAGTATTAATTTTTATTACCGTGGTTGCTAAATTTTTAAGTACATATCACGCACATTAAAATATTGTTCCCGTCCCAGAGATATTATTAAAATTCCTCTTCTTTTTAGATGTCGTCACAGCATACAAAGGATTGACGAAGGAGAAAGAGGCCTTAGAGGCCAGCTTGAAGGTCCTGACCACCGAAAAGGGTGGAAAAGGCTCAAATGAAAAATCGGCGGCAGAGCAGAAACAGCTAAAAGCGTTGTCGGAATCGCTGGCCGTAATATCAGCCGAGAAATCTCGAATGGAAGCTAATTTCCAAGCCGACAAGAAAAAGCTGCTCAGCGAAGTTGATCTGGTAAATTTTTATTTTTAATTAAAGTTTTGTCACTAAAATTTCTCTCCACCTAGCTTCAGACAAGCGTAAAAAGCCTGATGGAAGCTGAGCAGCATTTGAAGTATGAGAATGAGAGTTTGAAGACAAAATTAACATTCGAGAAGCAGGATCGACTTCAGGAACAGGAAAATCTGCATGTCCTTATCCAGTAGGAGTTTAAAGAATTTTCCAACCCTCAATCCTCATTGAACTTTCACTTGCACAGGCAAAAACAGGACCATTATGAAGAACGAGTGGCTTCTCTTGAGGCAAAACTAACTGAGTTGTCTGTTGTTGTCGGAGAGTACGACCGTCACCGAAACATGGACCAAAAAGCTATTCAGCGATTAAAAGTAACAATGCTAATTATTTGAAAATAAAAATTATTTTTATTTTTACCAGGATCAAATTTCTGAGCTGGAAAATCGAGCGCAAGCGTCTGTTCCTAATCTAGATATTGAGAAACAGGACAAGTGCAAAATTAAAGATGATTCTGAGCAAACTGAAGATTCTGCTGAAATTCATGGTGAATTTTTATAATATGATCTCTGAAATTTCAAGTAATTTCTGTTCTCAACTTAAGCTTCCTGTCGAGAGCAGTACGAGGCTGCAATGAGGGAGTTAGAGCATATGAAGCAAATGCAAACATTTCAGTCCCTCAGGGGCAACAGGTATATTTAAAAAAAAAATCAAAAAGTTAAATCTTTTTAAATTCATATTCACAGGCCTGACGAGTCTAATGCTGAAATGGAAAAGCTGCGGTCTCAAAACAGAAATCTTCAAGAGCGCGTCAACAACTTAACAAAGAAACTTAACAACAGTGAAAATGAAATTCATGCTCTGCGTCAAAGCAAAAAGCAGGTAATATTTAGACACCAAATATTTAAGAAAAATTATATTTTAACAAGATATTTACTAGATTGCTGAGCGGGAACGAGAAAAATATTCTACGGAGCTCAGCGCCATTCGGAAGCATCAAGACGGACAAATAACCGAGCTGGAGGATCAAATTCGGCAGCTGCGGGAAAGATCTCTTAAAATTCTCGAAGAGAAAGACGTGGAAATCAGCAAACTGAGAAATGCTCTGAAGAACCTTTCCCCAACATCAGGTAATTAATTTCGAATAAATACATTCTCTGATTAATTTATAAATCGATCATAGTGTTGGCTGGAGAATTGAATCAAACAGTAGACACGGAGTTGCTGGCAGAAGCATCAGGTGGAGACGGAGCGCCTCCCCTGTTCCATTTTTCGCAAGAAAATGCAAGGAACACGGTGGAGGCCACCATGCTTCGCAAGCAGAACTTTAAGCTGGAGAGTGAAGTGCGTGATTTGAGTAGAAAATTGGCATCAATGGAAGTTTCAAGGAATGACGAATTTCGATGTTTGCAGTCAGAAATTGAAAGGTTGGTGGAATAATTTATCTACAATTTGAATACGTAAATCTGCAATTTTTCTCCTAATAATTTCAGGCTGTCACTTGGAAAGTCAAGGGAAGGCGCAAATTTGGAATATTTGAAAAATGTTGTTCTGCGATATTTGACTTGCGTTGACGACAGCAGCAAGCGCCACATGCTGTCTGCGATTTGCACCGTCCTGCGCTTTAGCAAAGAGGAAACCAGAACCGTCAACAGAATTTACAAAAAATAGCCTAGAACTCTTATGCTTGGAAAAATATTAAAATATTCCTGTGTTATCAGCTGTGAATTGATTCTGATATATAAAAAATTATTAAATTTAATATTTCAAAAGATAATATACATAACATATTTTTTGATTATTTGTATTAATCCTTAAGAGCAATTATGCAGCCAGCGGAACGCATAGGTCAAGGAAGTTGCCTATTTCTGCAGAATGCAGGAAACTTTATTCTGGTGAAATATTTGAATTATGGCAACGGCCTCTGCAGCCCTGATCTATTTTGTAAATGATTGATTTACAAAGATTCTGATTTTAATTTAAAATATATTATTTCTGGAATTAAAATTCGTATATTCTCCTTAATTTTAAATATAAGTTACACAAATCATTATTTAAAACAGAGCATTTTTGATACTTGAGCAAAAACTTTCCGTGTCAAAATATCGCTTTCCTGATTCCCGCTTCAGGTAGGCAAATGCACCCACCCCTTGTATCCACAGGGGCGCATGACCATTGCGGGGGCATATTCATTGATCTCCGGCAAGCTCTCGCAGGGGTGGGCGACAGATCCGCTGCGTGCGAGACACCCAAACAAAAGAGTTGTCGATCAGATTTGATCGCCAAAATGCCGCAAGTAGTTCAAGGTAAATATTGTACCCAAAAAAAACTGAAGTAACTATTAAAAGGGGAACTCAAAAATCATCAAAAAAGAATTGCAAATTCTGTTTTTTGGAGTTGCTAGAATGAAACGTCGTTATCGCACCAATTATTATTTTTACTTTTTACAAGAAGCTTTTTAACCAATTTTTGTTTTAACTGACAATGAGATTTTTTCTTTACTTAGGCCTCAATGAAGAAGATCTATCTGAGAGCGTGGAGGCGCTTCGTCAACGCCTTGACGCTATGAAGCGCCTAATGGCGCAGAACGAAAAAGCGTGAGTTTTTATAAAAAACATTTTAGCGATAGTTAAAATCACTCTTCATTATAAATTTTAGACAAAATCGTGCTGAAGGTGGACTCATGGGTAAAAACGAGAAGAATAAAAATGCCGACTCCATTATCGATGCAAATTTCCTCAGCGTCGTTTTCGGGGTTGTTCTAGTGCTCATCATATCGGTCTCAATTTACGCTTTTTACAATTTGTACTTTGCTGTGTTAAAAAAGTTCCCATCAAGACCCCACACGGAACTTTAATATATTTCATATATTATATTTTACAGCATACATCATATGACTCAAGTATCTTAATTAAAACATAAAAATCGTTGTCTTTTTAGAGCGGTATAAAAAAAAACAGCTTGAGAGATTTCGCAATCCGCAATTATATTCAAACTTAAAATTTCAGATAAATTAATTGTGTTGGAAATCTGCTAATTCCAAAATAAATTATTAGTTTATTGATCTCATTGTCATTTTAGTAGTTTAAGCGTTGTAAAAAATTACAACAAAATTTGATACGCCGAAAAATCAACCTTTCCAATATCCATGTTATTCCATTAAAAAAAAAACGTTTTCCTTAATATACAAGAAAATGTTAACATTTACTCATTTAGATTTAAGATTTAACTATAAAAATAAATAGCATAGAATTAAGATATATTCCTTATATTGCCAAATTACGTCAGCATGATTATTTTAAATGACGGCAAATTAAAATGTATGTTTTCCGGGTTTTGTGCCAAATGATCTGTGAATTCTTCAAATGTGCCAAATGAGAAGAAGCAGAAGAATATACAACTGTTTTCTGGATTCTATAGATTATAATGATGATAACTTATGGAAATAAATTTCAATTGTAAATTTATTCCTCTTTTACAATTAATTTAATATTTACAAAATCATCTTAATTATTGCTGCGCGGCTGGGCTCGACTGTGGGTACGTCCGCGGAAGGCGCGCCTAAATCTGGCCTTGAGTTTTAAAAGTGCCCTTGCCTAACCCCACCACTTTTACTTTAGCTCCAGCTGGTCGGCGTGAATTGTGTCGTCGTCTTGAATTACATCTTTTTATTTTGTTATTTTTGTGATTTTCGGAAGATAAATTATTCGGAAATTAGTGTGAAATGGCTGCTATATTCAAACGAGCGTCGACTGTCGCCAAATTTCAGGCTGTGCAAGTAAGAAAACACTTTGAAAATTTCGTTTGAATTTTCAGCGCTCGCATCTTTAAATGATTTTTAATACAATACATATTTATTATTCGCTAATGACATTGAAAAATAATATAACTGATATATTCATATCAATGGGATTTCCTTATCAAATCCCATATTGAATGTAAAACTTATGACTTGAGCACTTAATTATTTATGTATATGCGTATATCAAAAAGTTTTCTCATTTTTTCCCCATAATTTCAGTCTCATATCCGTCTGTTCTGCGATGCTCCAAAATTCCCCGGTGCCAAAACAACGTGGACTCAGACTTTAAAAATATCAGAAGCAAAGCCGGAAGAACACCTGCCAGTATACAGGGTGCTCGACAAACATGGGGTTGTCATCAACTCCTCCCACGAGCCAAAAGTACATAAATTATTTTAATTTCCAAATGTAAAATTTTGTTAAAAATGATAATGAAATTTTAGCTGTCGAATGATGTGCTCCGTAAAATGTACAAATCCATGACGATGCTTAACCAAATGGATAACATCTTATACGAGAGCCAGCGCCAAGGTCGCATCTCATTTTACATGACCAACTATGGTGAGGAAGCAGCGCAAATTGGCAGTATTGCTGCTCTCAAGGACGACGACCTTGTCTTTGGACAGTACAGAGAGGCCGGTGTGCTGGTTTACAGGGGCATGTCTCTCGACCTGTTCATGAACCAGTGCTATGGCAACAACCTGGACGTGGGCAAGGGAAAGCAGATGCCTGTGCATTATGGCAACAAGGACCTTCACTTTGTGACTATTTCTAGCCCTTTAACTACTCAACTACCCCAGGGTAAAAAAAATTACTAATTTGTATTTTTTATTTTTAGCAATGCCATTCATGTTAAAAACCTCTAATTTATTTTCCAAAATGCCTTAAAAATAAATTTTCCAAAATTTTCTTCATCAAGCTGCTGGAGCTGCCTATGCTTTTAAAAGAGCAAAGAACGGCCGAGTCGTTATTACCTATTTTGGAGACGGCGCAGCTTCCGAAGGTGATTTTCATGCAGCTCTAAATTTTGCAGCTACGCTCGAGTGCCCAGTGATATTCTTTTGGTAAAAAATCGATCGTTCTTTAAGCTGTTTCAAAATTATTTCTCTAGTCGAAACAACGGATACGCAATCTCAACTCCGACTTACGAGCAATACCGTGGTGATGGAATCGCCAGCAGAGGTCCAGGGTATGGAATAGGCACTGTTCGATGTGACGGTAACGACCTTTTGGCCGTTTACAATACTGTGGAGCTGGCCAGGAAATACTGCGTTGAAAATAACAAGCCCATTATTGTTGAGGCAATGACCTATAGGTAGAATACAGAATCATCTATTGTATTTTGCTCTAAATTATTCCAACTTTTTTAGAGTTGGTCATCACAGCACCTCGGACGATAGCACTGCCTACAGACCCAAAGAGGAAATTGGAATGTGGAGCTCTACCGAAAATCCAGTAGGGAAGTTCAGAAAGTACTTGGAAACTAGAGGGTTGTGGAGCGCTGAAGAGGAAAAAAGCTGGGCAAAAGATGCTCGGAAACAGGTATGTGTTTTTGTTCAGAACGAGCCAAAATTTTGTTTTATTTTTGTGCAGATATTGGATGCTTTCAACAAGGCAGAGAATGTGCCAAAGCCAGACTGGCGAGAAATGTTTGAAGGGGTCTATCAAAATCTCACTCCTGCTTTGAAGTGAGTATAAATATTGACTCATCGCTTTTTTTTTTATCAAATCATGATTTTGGTTTTTAGAGAGCAAATTAAGGAGATGGAGTCTCATCTGAAGTCGTACGGTTCCCACTACCCTCTAGACAAATTCAGGGCTCCAAAATAAAACTCAGAATCTATGAATGACTCAGGAATCACATGACGTCTCAAATCAAATATATTTTTGTAACTATAATAACAAATTGTTGAAAATAGGCATTTCTATTAAGTTTGGTACAATTATTAATATTTTGTTGATTTGAAAAGTTGCCATATATATTGAATATAATAAAATACAAAGCATTAAATACAAAACTCATAACTGTTGTAAAGGAATAAAAATCAATCCTTAAAAAATTATTTAAATAATTTAGACAGCTAAATTTGAGGACTGGGCAAGTCTGCGTTGTCGAATGGCCTTGAGCCGTTGTGCACAATACATTCGCAAAAATACTGCCAGGAAAACAAATATGATTCCAAGGAAACCAATCACACTGACATCATGGCCATAGAAGATGCAACTCAATAATATTGCCAGTCCCTAAAAAAAAATTGTTATTAACATATTTTTGCATTAAAATAAATCTACCTGTCTTATGGTCATGATAATTGTGAATGTCACAGCACCGAACTGGGAAATGGTGTAGAAAATGAATAGCTGGCCAATAGCCGAGCAAATCGACAGTACGACACAGTCAGTCACAAACGCAGGAAACTATAATAAAAACATTAGATTATTACACAAATAGTTTTTCAGTGAATATAAAGATTTTACTTTTGTCATAAATGCAGCTGCCGCAGGAAAAGCACCTTGTTCAAGCAGGGATGTAGTGGTCAACAAGCAAGAAAATAAATTGACTCCAAGCATCATCTGAACCGACGACACTTTGTATTGGGAGAAAAGCTTACCCTAGTTAATTTCATCGCTTTAGTAATAATCGCTAGTGTAAATAGAATAGTATACCTGCCAGTTGGATGTAAAAGAGTCGCAAGTCAAGTAGCTGATTAGCAAAAGGATACCTGGTAATGTGGTCTCAACGACTGTTTTCCCCTTGGCAGAGGTGCTTTCCTGGCCGAGCAAGAACGCCGCCATACCCAAGGAAATCATGACGGCAGTGATGTACTCGTAGTTTTCATACTTCTTGCTCGACACACATTTTCCCATAATCATCACTGGGATAACCTTACACGACTTTGCAAGCACCTGAAATATTCTCCAGCTTATTTCAGTGTCCAATCTTTGACATTTAATTTGTTACCTGTAGAGGAAAAGTGACATATTTCAGGGCTTCATACTGGCAAAAAGAGCTCAGTATGTTTGATAGGGAGCACAACATGTACTTGTACATGGGCAGAGACCTGTTGGAGCCATCAGGTTTCACAGTCAAGTAAATTCCAGCCAGACAAAACGCCAGAATGCGATTAACAAAGACCAGGAATTGAGAGTCCTTGAATTTTGCAACATCGCCATTTGCACTCACGTATTCCTGGCAAGATAAATTTTAAATGAAGCTCATAAATAACTTAAATAAATTTACCCTTGTCATGACTTTTTCCTGCAGGAAACCCCATGTCAGGTAAGAGCTGAGTAGCCCCAAAACGCAGAACAGCAGTTTTGGTGTTGTGCTTGTGCTGGTCTGATTTTTGCTGACGCCGCTGCCCGAGTCAAGAAGCTCTAATTGCACTGGTTCAGCAAAACATCGCCTGATCAGTCGAGGCAAAGCACCAATGCCTAAAGTAAGCAAAAATTCATTATAAAATGCAGAAAAGATATAAAACTGCCCGCGCTTTTAAAAAATTTAACCAAATAAGCTGATAATAAGTAAGGATTAAAATAAATACATATCTAAATTGTAAAAAAGACGGTGAAAAAATTACCAGGAACGTCCAAGTACCCAGAGAAGTGCACAAATTTCAGCACAAGGTACAGGGGGACAATTACAATGAGGTATCCAAAAATATTATTTAACAAGCGGATTAGCCAGCTGATTTCCGGGTCTTCTCGTTCATCAGTGAAAGACTTGAAGATTCTCGAGGAAATCAAAACAACCACAATGCTGACTGCGATAATCAGCCTAAAAGGAATGACATAATATTTATCAATTTCTTTAAAATTGAAATATAAGAACTGCTTACGCTATCACAAATTGGTTAATTCTGCCAGGAAACTTCATTTTTTAGCCTTTGACTAGCATGACGCAATTTGAAAAGAGCAAAATTTGATGATTATTTAGAAAATTCTGTTTTCCCTTGGTGATCATCCATTTTTAAGTTAGCCTAAACAAACGAAAATTATTATAAAAATATGTATATATTGTTATAATAAAAATATAATTTACATTTAACAATTCTTATATTAACATTTTAAACTATTGATTACAAAATTATATAGTGTGAACAGTACTTGTGTAGTTTAATTTTTTAAATAAAAATTAAAAGGGAAAATTAAAACATTAACACTTGCATTCATGATTCGTGATTGCTTATCTTTAACGGGGGTCTTTAGTTATCAAATAAACAAAAGGCGTCAAGAGGCTACCACGTAAACATTACGTTTTTGGACGTTAATGTATGTGGTGTCATTTTAGTACATAAAATTAAAAAAAAAAAACGATAATATCCCTATAAAATCTGTTAAAAAAAATACACAGTAAAAAACAAGTAACAATTAATTTATTACCATATAATTATTTAGATTATTTAAGTAATTTTCTTATTGCCAACCTAAACACAGGAATTTTTTATGCGTGCAAAAACAATATAAAGACATAATGTGTACCTATTATTTATCTATGTACGTGTAATTCCAATTTCTCAGTCACTCAAAATAATGAGCTGCTCATCTTCATAGCCGAGTTTTCGGCCGCAAAATTCATCTGTCCTGCCGTCAGTGCCGTCTCTCTCCGTCAGTTCGTCAGTTCTTCAGTACCGTCCTTGTGTCAAAAGTCGGTCGTCGGCAATAATTGGTCGTCGGTCGTCACTCGTTACGCCCCTTTTTTCTAAAACAGACGAGCATCGAAAAACAACAAAACAATTTGTTTCTGAAAACATGGCCGAAGCCGCTGGGAATTGGTGTCTCATCGAGAGCGACCCCGGCGTTTTCACCGAGTTAATCAAGGAATTCGGTGAGATAAAAATAAATTTCTACATTCATAACAAATCGTAGTTATCAAAATTGCTGCTGAAGTTGATGATTTTGGCTTACTTTTCGAGCAGCGTAGTTAAACGTTGAGCGCGTCAAGCTCTGCCAGTCATGCTTGTCGCAATAAACTTTGCTCTCTCAACCTCTTAAAATTTTGCCAATTTTTCAGGCGTGACCGGAATACAAGTAGAGGAGTTATGGAGTCTGGATGCTGCGCAATTTGAAACTCTTCAGTGAGTACAAAAAATTATTTTCAAAGAAATTGGCATAAAATATCATACAAAAATTTATTATTTTCAGGCCCGTCCACGGTCTGATTTTTCTCTTCAAATGGGTTCCTGATTCTGAGGCTTCAGGGCCTATTGTTCAAGATTATCGCTTGGACAATATTTTCTTTGCAAAGCAGGTTTGTACAATGCAACTTGAATTATTTTTATTGTTTTATTGAATATTAACTTCTTTAGGTAATTAATAATGCCTGTGCAACTCAAGCCATCCTGAGCATTTTGCTCAACTGCAGTCATTCAGATCTTACACTTGGGAAGAATTTGTCAGAACTGAAGGAGTTTTGCCAGAGTTTTGACGCTCATATGAAAGGACTGACCATTAGCAACTCTCCTGTTATCAGATCAGTCCACAATTCTTTTGCCAGGTTAATAATTTTTTTTTTTATATTTATATTTGGTAATTTATTATCTTGCTATATTCATAGGCAAACTTTATTTGAATTTGACTCAAAAATGGCTTCCAAAGACGACGACGTCTTTCACTTTGTCAGTTACGTTCCAATTGGTGGCAAGTTGTATGAGCTCGATGGACTTAAAGAAGGACCCATTGATCTTGGAGACATCCCAGCTGGCACGGACTGGATAGATATTGCTCGGCCAATTATTGCCAAAAGAATGGAAAAGTATCAAAAATATTTTTAATTTTAAGAGTAAAATCTAATGTCTTTTTTTTAATGTGCTTTCAGGTACAGTGCAGGAGAGATTCATTTTAATCTGATGGCTTTGATTTCCGATAGAAGCATGACTTACCAGAAAAAGGTTGAGGAGATTCAAAAACAAATGGAGGTCTGTAATGAACAGCATTAAAATTTTTCAGTATTTTACATTGTGTTCTTCGAATAGGAAAGCGGAATGGACACAGATGACCAACAGTCCGAGATTGCAAGGCTGAAGCTGCTGATGGACGAGGAGGCATGCAAAGTCAAGAGGTACAGGACAGAGAACATCAGGAGGAAACACAACTACCTGCCGCTGATTGTGGAGATTTTGAAAACACTGGCCAAAGAGGGTCAGCTCATGCCACTGTACGAGAAAGCCAAACAGAGGGCCAAAGAAAACGCAACTAAGAAACTTCACACCGCTTAATATGCGTGTGATAATTACAAGGTATGGAATGATGAATAAAACGAAACAACCAATGCTTGAAAGAACTGGTTATGAGTGCAATACTGTACTTTTAATTCATTGAAAAAAATCACTTCAGCAGAAAACTAACTTCTTCTCCAACTCTAAACTCCTGCGGCTGATTTTCGCTGAAATTTAATGACAAATAATTTTATGAATACTGAACTTTTTATGGCTACTTACACTGTGAATAATTTAGCCCCGTAAGTTCCCAAAATCTTGGCAACGTCGCCTTCGACTTGTAAAATTGCACCTTCTCGCAATCCCAGAACGGGTGGAGAGCCAGGAATCTCATGGTACTGGCTTATCCGCTCTTCTCGAGTTTCCTGTTTCCCCCCACCCCAAATTGAATAGCAAATTCAACTTTTATATTGTTACACCCACCCCTTTGTGCTTGGAGTCGGGGTCAAAGTCAATGTAGTGAGGGTTTATGTTGAATGGCACAAGTGCAAGGGCAGTTAGGGTTGGTGGCCACACAATGGGCATGTCGTTGGTCGTGTTAATACTTGCAGTGGCCACGTTACTTCCCGCAGAGCTTCCAATATATGGAATGCCATCCTGGCAAAAACAAAATATTGTTTCATCCTAAATTACTGAAAAATCTGGCATTACCTTCAGGACTCTTTCTTTAATAGGCTCAATTAGGTTCAAATCATAAAGAGTCTTTAAAAGTAGGAAAGTGTTTCCACCCCCAATATAAATTGCTTCAGCTTTTTTGATGGCATCAATTGCGTTTGTTGCCTCATGAATGCCCTCTACTGCATAACCTGATATTTATTTAATGCAATAAACTTAAAATATTATCATGTATATTATTTTAATTCAATTCAGACTTACCTAATTGCTTCAATGGTCCTTGGACTTTGTTCAAGTACTCATTGTGATCCTTCAACGCGTAAGGCACAAACAAAATTGTTTTTACTTTGCTCCTGTTTTAAATCAAGGACATAAAAAAAGATTATTTTAAAAGTGAGTGAATTTTACTTTTGCAAAAATTCCTTAATGTGGCCAGCAGCATACTCCAGGTATCCAGAACCATGGACCGTTGAGCTGGACAATAAGAGAATTCGCCTTGCATTTGCCATCATGCGGCTTATCATGAGGCATGTGATGAATTGAGCAGTGTTGACTCAGATAACGGGCGCGGTGACGATAAGATTTTTCTGAGGTCAAAATACTGTTTACTGTTTGCCAGCTGGTTTTGACAAGCAGTATGCCGCGGGAAATTCAACTAAAGCAACCAATGAAAATGTTTGATATTTTATAAAATACTGCACTCTGCAATTTAATAAATTTTATTGAAATGAAAAGAAATTTAATTTCTTGAAACATATTTGTTGATTTCCTCTCTTAACGTGGAAGACTTGAAATTTTGTATTGTTTTTTATTAAAGCTTTATAAAAAAATTTAGATGGTACATAAATGAGAATTCAGTCGTGGTCATAACGTTACAACTCCTCAGAATTTTCTCTCTGAAATTTATTACTTGTCACAAGTGTATCACTTTGAAAATTGGAAGTTGGTTAAGGCTCTAGTAAAGTTAATACATCCTAAACAGTAACTCCCATGTTTCGCATAATATCAGACAACCGTTTGAGATGCTCGTTGATGGTGGTGGGCGAGTCACCACGGTTCCTGTGCAGAAGCTGGAGAGCATTGATGTACTCAAGTTCTTGGAATTGAGGTCCTTTTTCCATCACAGTCACAAGCACCTCCTATTGTTTCAAATATTAATTGGTCATAATGCAAACTGGAAATGAAAGAAACAAACCTCTGGGGTCATGTAAAACAGCTCAAAGTAGTGGCGAGCGTGATCGAGGCCAACTTCTCGACTCATGGTAACCGAGGCAAGAGTTTGTTGAAGAGAAAGTATGTTTCTGCAAATTTTCTGTACTCCTGGCTCGTCCAATTGGTTTGTGTATTGAACCGATGTGATAAGAATTTTTGATATCAAATGGCCCAATCCGTCAAAAACATACTGGGGAAGAAATTCCTTAATATATTTTCAAAAACATTAAATATATATTTACTTTTGCCTTATTTGGTTGAATAGTTGAGCTGAGCGCTTCGTCAAAAACATTCACAGCTCTACTCAACTGAAGAACTCGAGGCTCAAGGTCCTCCGAACTAGTGATGCCGTTTACAGTCTTGATCGAATAACCTCCCGGCAGCAAATAGTGGAAGCACTGTACTCTAATCTATAAAAACAAAGAGTCTTTTTGCTACTTTTTGTGGGTTATAAAAACTCACTTCTAAATGAAGAATCAATAAGCAAGTGTTTGACAACTCTTCAAACTCTTGGGCCAATCTTTCTAAGTCTTCTACATTCTTTGGTTGCATGGGTGGAATTTCCCCTACGGGAATGGAATGTGTAGTGGCACCAGGATTCATCTTTGGCAAACCTGAAGCCATTTCCGATAATTTTGAAGCAAACCACTCCTGTAGAGAATTTAAGTGTAATTGGTTACAGAAGGATATTTGGTATTTCTGAATTTACCATGCTTTCCTGCAGTTGGGCTAATCTTTTCAACTGGGACATGTCAGACAAAATTTCATGAGACAAAATTGCGCGACCGCCAAAGTTTCTGACAAGTATCTCAGCTTCTTGCAGATTTTTCTGTTTGATGTCATCAGGGTGCTCTTCTTCAACGCTGCCATTACGATTTAACTGCTGGTTGGCTTTCCTCTGCTTCTGCAGGTCCACCCAGTTGGGCAAGAACTTGAGGCACCGACTTATATCGTCGTCATTGAGCCAGTCGACGCTGACAAATTTTCGATCCTCAACGTCTGGCTGCACAATTCCTCGATATGCTGCTTGACAAGTTTCTCTGTACCCTGTCAGCCTGTTGCACATGACGGCCAAGAACAGCTCAGAGTAAGTGGGAAGGGCGCCCATTGTTTTCCGCAGCTCCTGAACACATTTTTCGACGTTAACACAACTCTGGAGAAGTGGCCGGATAAGGTTCATTTCTGTGGTTTGGTCTGCACTTGTGATTGCTTTCCAAGCGTCCGAGACTCTTGTCACTTGATCAATTTTGTTAGCTACGGCCATCTGTTGTCTCGGGACAAAATCTTGGTCTACAAACTCCTTCAAGAAGCCTCGCATGTGGCAAGGATTCCGACTGACAAATTTTTATTCATTTTAATTAGGGAAATAAGATAAGAACTGATATACTTACACAGCATGCATTCCAGTGGCTTGCTCAATTTCTTCCACAAATTTCATCAGAGGTATGAAGATGGTGGTGATGTTGTTAGCATTTGGGGAACATACCATGTTCTTTGCATTGCTAAGCTGCAAAACACTTTATTAAAAATTGAAGCATAAAAATGCATGGTACTAGCCGAGTTTTGCGTGGACTCTCTTTGAGGACTGCCAAAACTTTTAGCAGATGAATCAAATTTGAACAATGTTGCTCGTTTAGGCCTAAAACAATTTTTTTTTATGGTCAGCAGGAATATATTAAATTATTTTTTTATTTATCACTTTTGAGGTTTTCGTCTGGCAAAAAAGGCAGACAGGTCATGTGTTGCAGCTTGGTTGAAAACAGCAGCTGGCTGCATCTCCTTTCCAGAATTATTTTGCATGTCCAGGTAATTTTCAAGGAGTTGCTCAAGCTGAGAAAAAACATAATTTGAATGGATGTCTATATGGTGTTCTGAATAGTCACTTACGACAACTTGAATGTTGGACCACACTTCCGTAACTTCATAAAACCGAGTTTCAACTTTGTACTTTTCAGCCGCCCTTCTAAGGCTCTGTATTGCCGACGAGTGAGTGGCAGCAATGGCCCTAAATTGGTCAAAGAGGGTGGAGAGCAACTCGAGAAGCATAGCATTGCCCTGTAAATTTTTTCCCAAAGTTATACAGCGGCTAAGTATTTATACCAAAAAGTCTTGTTTCAAAATTATGTACATAGTTACTGAAAATTTTAAGTTCCAAGAGGCGGAATTGCTGAGTAAATTTCTAAACGCTTCAGTGTTTTTATTAAGATAAATGTTTTGAAATTTCAATTTAATACCTGTTGAAATAACCCAGATGAACAAAGCTGAGCAGATGTTTGGTTCACTACAGCAGCCAACTCTATTTGCATTGACATCTTCAGAGTCTGGGAAATATATTTTATTTTAGTTAGAAACAAATCTTTGATTGTAGGTACATAATGTTCTAAATTCTAAAACAAACTGTTCCACGGCCCATCGGCTGAATATTTTAAATATCAAAAAATGAAATTGCAGGTGGCAAAATATTATAAGATGGGAGGCAGGTAATGGTAAAGACATTTGATTTTTTTAAGCAATGATCTTTGCTCCATGGGCCTTCAAGCCATGAGATGGTGATTGGTCATGATTGGAATAGTTTGCCAATCAGCAATGGGAAGTTTGTCGTGGAAAAATTTACTGTACACCCAATTATTAAACATCATGACAAATTTATACCTCAATTGCTTCAGGTAGTTTTCCTAATAGGGCCAAGCACTCCGCCAATATTGAAACAAATCTCTCGGGTTCTTGGTCAGGGTTGTCATTGTTGAGGTCTTCCGAGAGACTAGAATATGCCTCATCAGGGTGAGACGTTGGAGACCTTATATTATAATGTAAGTTTTCAGTGTTATTTTTAAATTAAAACTTACAAAACTTGCATTTGTGGCCCTATATCAACCCCCTTCTTCATGGGTGGTGGAGCTTTTGCCCGTCCTGAACCTCTCAAACCTGATCCTTGCCTTCTGAGCACCTCTGCCTGCTTACTCGGATTTCTGTACAACTGCTGGCTCAGTTCATTCATCAATACAGAGTTGAGTTGCTGAGAAGTAACATAAAATTAGCAAATAAAAAGCAAAAATTTTATCTTGAGGGTACCTTTGACTTATTTCGCAATTCCGCAAAGACATCAGTTAAGGCGCCAATGTCTTTCAGACTTCCACTGGCCATGGTCAGCGATTTCACCAATAGTTGAGTTGCATGCAAATAGTGCTTCTTGGAAATATGTCCGGTTATTTTTGAAGGCACATCTCGGATTTTATCTCTGAAAGAAAAATTTAAATTTATCAAGATAATATAATGCTGGGACGATTGTACATCTCCTCAAGCAGAAAAAGCGTGTGTTTCTGCTCAACACCTTCCAGCCACAGTTTTTTCAGCTCCTCTCTTTTGCATCTAAGCAGCATTTTACAGGCAATCAAGTTTTCTTTGACAGATCGTATTTTGTCTCTCGAAGCCAAGACATTGGTTGAAATTTTGTCAAATGACTGAAAAATCCAGAATTAAATTAGCAAATAGGTTGAAGGTAAAATATAATTTAATCTCATACTTGCATAACTTGATTAAGGTCCTCATCATGGACAGACACCAGCTCGTCCAGTCGCTTGTCACTCTTCTTGTACTCCTTTTCAAGTTTTGCCTTTTCTCTGTCCCGCTGCTCGTTCGACTCGCTGGCCGAAAGGGTTCTGATTACAGACATGAGCAAGCCACTCTGCAAACAAAGAGCAATAAAGATTATCTCCTTTTTCTGTAAACGCAGTTTTCAGTTTTTGTTGATGCACCGTAAATAATAAAGAAAAACATAGGTGGAGTCGGTCATATAAATTCCGAGCAAACTCGTACCGATTCTCTAGGTTGCTTCACTCCTCTCGGAGGCTTCGTGGGTGGATTAAGGTAAGACATTTTCCACCGATTGCTTCTATCAGATGGAACTGACGAGTTTAGGCATAAAAATGCTCATTGAGTGCCGATTCACTCAAATAATGACAATAATGACATCCGTGACAAGCCTTCGCCTTGGTTTCCAATTTTGTTTACGCCCACAGCTGCAGCTTGAAAGTGGGAAGTGGGAGGGAGTGTCATGTTATTGCAATTTGCAGAGAGCAGAACTGGAGCAGAATCAGCAGGGAGAGCACGGTTGGCACGGATGCATCAGATGCATGCATGCATGTGACTCGCCAACACACAAAAATTATACACATGGAAAACACAGATAAACATTGAAGTTAATTGATCAATTAAAAGATAAGGTAAGATATTTTGTATGTATTTAAAATGCCTTTTCTTAATTAAATACGTTAAATACATTTATGTTACATACATATTAATTTCCGTTAATTTCTAGGCGCGATTGAAATATTATTGAAAAGGAAAAGACTGATAAGACTTTCCCTAACTATATTCAAGAAAATTCACGTACGTGGATGCAAACAATGGTAATTTTATTATTATATGAAAATGAACCATAAAAAAATTGAAGTTCTAAAATAACTTTTCAGGCCTTCCGATTGCATCATTTATTTTGCAGAGTTGCTTACACCAGGCTTGGCCTCGCTCTACCTTGCACCCGCCCGACGTTTGTTCAATCTCGACCCCTTAGAAACTGGTCTTTATTAAGGACAAACATCAGATCTAATACTCCCTTTAAATTATTTTACCAACCAACTCAATATTTTTGTGTGAAAGTGCCACTTGACGGAGAAAATGTTCAAGTCGGAAAATTAGACAGAACATTGAATTTGATCTATACCTGCAAAGTATGCAACGCAAGAAACTCTCATTTCATCTCAAGGCAGGCCTACACTAGTGGTGTTGTGATAGTGACATGTGAAGGGTGTGGCAGTAGACATTTGATTGCAGACCACTTGGACTGGTTTAAAGATTTGAAAGGGAAGAATATTGAAGAAATTATGGCTGCAAAAGGGGAAGTTGTGCTCAAGGTGAAGCCAGTTTCGGAGCATGTATTTGAATACTCGGAAAAGTAAAAACCTTCTGGTAGGATACATAGATTTGCAAATGAAATTTATTGTTACATTTTCAATCCTTATAATTAAATGAAAAAAAATGCAAAGTTGTCAATTTTCTACTTGATGTACTTTTCCATGAATTTGCGATGGAACTCTGAACGAAGAGAGTCGTTGATGAACTGAGGTTCATTTTTCGACGGCTCTGAGCGAGCACAATTTTTAAACACAACATCGTCATCCCATCTTCTCTTGACCTATGTCAAACAAAATAATTATCACAAATAATTATCTAAAATTTTTTATAAAAAAAAGTCGCACCTTCAGGTCGCCTTTCTGGGCCTGGGCAGAGTAGTTCAAAAGAGGGTTGCCACTCAGAATGTTTTCCATTCGTATCCTTTCCTCTTCCATTCTCTTTTCAGCTTCCTGTAAAGCACAAAAACGGTTTTAAAAAAACAAAACAACTCAAAAAAAGATGCTTTGAGCTCAATTACCTTTCTGGTGTTCTCTGCAGCTCTCTCCTTCTTGATTCTGTTTAACTCAGCCAATAGCTGGGCTGTGTCATCTTCATCGGAATCACTAGCGTCGGAATCATCATCGTCAAGAGGGTCGTCGGCATCAAGGTTGGCTGTGGAAATTTGTTCTGTCCTTGGTCTCTTGCTGACCGTAGAAGAAGAGCTCCCAGCTGCAATTGCCATTGGGGCTGATGACCTAAAAATAAAATTAAAATAATTATTTGAGCAAATACTTCCATTAAATTTCAATCTATTTTGGGCATATCTTACACGCTGTAAAAAAGACTAAAAAAGACATTTTGTAAATGACTATCCTTTTTAATTATGCTCTAAATTTCAATCTTAATATAAAATTAATTTTTTTTATCAATCCAAAACAGGTTAATTTTATTAAATAGTGAAAATTTTCTTACTGAGAAGCATCTTGGACATGCTCGCGTGGCCTTTTCTCCCTAACAACAGCCTTTTCACGATCCTCCAAGTCCTTGCGAAAATCACGGCCACGGATTTCCTCAGAGGTGCCCTGTCCATGTTCTCTGCAATGGAAATTTTGCTTTTCCTTAAACCATAAAAACGAGAGTGATTATTTTACCTGTATTTAAGTTTAGTATGTGACGGTAAATCTCTGGCCGAGTACTGTTTGGACAAGGCACTCAGGTCCTTCTCTCCACGACCAGTACCTCCTCTGGCTGGCTCAAACGTCGGGCGTGCGGCGGTTGTCATTATAAAGGACCCTTTTACGCACTGAAATTAGGAATTTTTAATTTCAAGGAGACTAAATTGGCCGCAAAAGATTTTAAAGCGTGTCTTTTAGACTAGAAAAATGATTTTTTGACAAAATGCAGGGACCTTGAAAAGAAGGAAAAACCAGCTCATATATATATAACAGAGCACCAGCGCATTTATCTGTTCACACTCTTTTTGCAAGCAATGGAAATAAGAAATTTAATAAACCAACGCTATTAAGATATGATTTTTCCAAATCTGTTACAAACCTAAGCAGCAGAAAAGTCCAAAACAGAAAATTTAGAAGAATTTTACAGACGATTCTCTCAACGACGCTTAATGCAACGCAAGACCAAAACAAAAACAAGAGAAAGCTGAAAATTGATACATTTGCGTATTGCGTTATGTTGGCAATAATTATCAGTTTAGCCAATGTTCCAAAAAACTTATTTTCAATGTAAATTTAGGATAAATAAATTTAGCCGTAAATTTAACTGTAATTCAAACTCAAATACATACGACTTATAAACCTATAAATCATTTAAGAATAATTTAATTTACCTTTATGCTGATATTTTTTAAATACAGGATACAGGAAACAAATTGAAACATAAAAATCATAGGGCGCAATATTTGAGACGATCTTTTTAAACTTTAAACGTTTGGCAGCTTCAAAGGTTGTCAAGAGCGGGAAGTCTCAAAACTTGTTGCTTTTGTAAACAAAAACAGCACGCTTAGAAAAATCCAGATTCGGAAGAGGGTTTAGCAATTTTTTGTAGATCTTCAAATATTTTGAGATTCCATAGAGATTGTGCAATGGATCCCTCAAATGTGTTTGTAAGGAGCGCAAATAAGGATGATAGTGAGGGACAAATACAAAAGCGAGAAATGCATGACTTGAAAGCGAAAAATGACGCTCAACTAAGAGAATTGCTGGAAAGACAAGAGCGCATCTTGGGCCAAAAGTATGTATATAAAATATACATACATAGTTATTTAAGCTTAAATCAGTCTCCTATAATAATATTTAATTTAATTATGGTAAAATAATGGCAAAATTTTTACAGGGGACTTGTTGCAAAGCTGGCAGACAAAGGAGAAAAAGTGCGGAACCTGAAGAGCAGAATCGAGGAAGAACTTGCTCACCGGGTACAAATTAACGCTCTGGGAGGGAACCTTACAAAAGTTAATTTGGGTGAAAACATGGAGTGGAATGTGGCTGAGGGTGAGACGACCAAACCGCCTCAAGAATTGGCCTCTGATCCTTTGCTGAATTACCTTCAATTGCGAAAAGAGTAGGCCAAAAGTTGTACACATTTAATATTAAAATTAACTTTTATTTCTGTAGGAGTGTTGAGCCGTTTGTAGAAAATATGTGCACTAAAATTGAGTCAAACCACCAAGTCGAAGAAAAGTTTCTACCCCACAGGAGCAACGAAGCCCCGATCAAGTCTCCCGGTGGGAAGTCGCCAAGACCTGAAGGCATCGAAAATCATGCCGTGAAAGAAATTCCCATAAAAGACTCTCTTTTCCTGCAAAGGAAACAAGCACAGGCCTCAGTTGTAGGTTTTTTTCCACCTAAGTGATTTATTTTGTTTTGATTCCTTATTTTAAAACTCTCAGCCTAAATCTGCAGCGCAATTGACGCAATGGAGGCAAATGGCAGATATGATGGATAGTGAGGAGAGCGAAGATGAATATGCAGAGCAAAAGGAAGAAGAAGAGATGGCTGCTATAGCTGAACTTGAAGAAGACCCACCTGGGGTCCCAGATTTTAAATGAATATGTAAGTTTAATAGGTGAAAGAGAAACAACAGACTTTTCAATTGCCATGGAGCAGCATTTTGTTGCTATTTGTGCACTTCTTTTTCTTAAGAAATTGACTGATTTTTTAGCTTACAATGTATGGTAAAAAATAATACATACATATAAAATGTATAAAATTAATTATTGTGTATGTGAAAATTAACTTTGTTTTGTATCATTTTTGCTTACATACAATATAAATGTAAAACTGAATATCAAACTGTTTTGTAAGTGGATAACAACAATATTATGTAAATTTGTATTATTATCATAGTTTTTGACACATTCAATTTCTATTATAATTTTTTTTCTCTTTTTATACTTTTTAATGTCACTTTTTTATGATCATAAAAATAAAAGAAATGACGTAATTGATACTACCTATTTCTTATTTTCCTTCTTTGTTCCTTTTTAATTTTCATTTTTAATTCCCCTCATTACAAGATCCCTCATCAACTCGTCTACTCGACAGTTCTACTCTACACCATATACCAAGACATGTTGGCAACACTGATATCAGCTTGTGCGTCCCCGCGGCTGCCCGGCTTCTTCTGTTGATAAACACGAGATCAAATCAAACAAACCTAGTTCTAACTGCAATCTTTTCAATTTTAGCTGGAATTTAGCCTTAAATATGGTAGGAACTTAACTTTAAATGACAAGGCATTAATATCTACAAAATATTTTCCCCTTTTCAGTTATTCTACTCGTTTTTCAAGTCTCTAGTAGGCAAAGACGTGGTTGTTGAATTGAAAAATGACCTGAGGTAAGAAACTCTAAAATTTATTGCTAACCCGGCATCAATTAAAACTTATTTTAAATTTACAGCATATGCGGGACTTTACATTCCGTAGATCAGTACCTGAACATCAAATTGACGGACATCAGCGTGACAGACCCTGAAAAATACCCTCACATGGTAGGTTGCATCATAGCTGGAAGCCATCTTTTTTCCAAAATCAAAAGCATGCTATTTTATTTTAGATGTCCGTGAAGAACTGCTTTATCAGAGGCTCAGTCGTGAGATATGTGCAGCTGCCAGCGGACGAGGTGGACACACAACTTCTACAGGACGCAGCCAGAAAAGAGGCTGCTGCACAAACTAAGGCTTAAACCACTCATCCTATTCGAAAACTAAGTATCGGTTTTAGGTAAAGTCTCCTCTCTGCAAATGCTGGTAAAATAAAATTCGCTGTCACTTGCAAGTGGAGATTTTAATACAAAATTTAATTCAGTTTGAGTGAATCGTGACAATTGATACGCTTTTTGTATGACAAATTCGTTTTTGTCCAAGCTTTAATTTTCTTGTGCATTCCAGAGCAATGCCAAGATTTCTTTCTTTTTTTTATGAAATAGCGCAAAATGAAAATAAAAGAAGATTGAATGATATGAGAAGAATGTCGCCCTGTATAAAAGTTTCACAAACTAAAATGGAAAAAATACAAATTTAAATTTGTTGCACCTGCATTCTCCTTAATTAAATTGTAGGTTGACTTGTAAATCAAAGACTTAACTCTATTGGTTTTTATATATTTACATTTAGAAAAGAACAATTAGAATTTTTCAATATACACTGACTAACTGCTGCCCAAGCACTCTTTTGACTCGCTTCATATATAATTTATTTCATTCACAGTCATAATTCATTAAATAAATTAATTTTTCGATTTATTAAGAATATCACAAAACCATGCTCCATATTACACACTGACTAGAGGTTTAATATAAAGCATCGAGTCCCTTCTTATGTGTAAAAGGGTGAGAAGAAAGTGGCCTCTTGTCACTGCTCCGTACTGAAGTACGAGTTCTGCATCAGGTAGAGCTTGTCGATAGGGTTGACTGGCCCAAATGAGGTCATCCCAGGAATGTCGAGTGTGGTCTGGTGAGAAACAGGCTCTAGTGTCTGCAGGGACATGCTGTCAGACGCCGTCTCGTCCAACTGGTCGAAATTCGTACTGCCGTCCAGGGAAATGTCTGAACTGGCAAAACTTTCGCCGGAGTGGGTTGGGTAGTTATCTGTGATTGAAATTTCCCGATTACTTTTAAATTACGTTTAATCACCAGAAAAATTATAAAAATGTTTCCGCCCGGGATCGAACCGGGGACCTTCCGCGTGTTAGGCGGATGTGATAACCACTACACCACGGAAACGCTTAAGATAGGGGAGAAGAAAATGGGATTTTATTCTACGCGCGTCGCATTTGCACGCTTAAAATAGACTTTCTTAATTTTGTGAAAAATACTTAAAAAATGTTTTATGAAATTGTTTTCAAAATATAATATTCTCACCATCTGGAGAGTAGGGCATGTTGGGATTAAGAGGTTGGCTTCCAGGCGTGAAAGCTTCGCTTGGGTCTCGCATTCCCATTCCTAAGAGGTCTGTGGTATTATTTATCTTTCATAAATTAAAGCAAATGGTCTGCGCTTGAAGACATACCTGAATCGGAGTGAGAGTCTTCCTGCTTAATCCTGGTGTCATCGAGATCTTTGTCTTTGTTCTTTGGATGCTTGTCAGCGTCCTGCTTGGCTTTTCTTTGGATCTTCTTCATTTTAGCGCGCTGGTTTTGGAACCAAACCTGGACCACCCTGACGCTGAGACCTGTGTCCTTTGCCAAAGCTTCCCTGACCTATTGATGACATCACAATTTTTCACCAATTAATATAATAAAATGTTTCATTTAATATTCTTTTTAAATTATTTCTTATAATTTTTTTTGTTTTAGTTCTTTAGCATTAAAACTGAATTATATACGTTAAAATATAGTTGGAATAATAATTATCAGGCCAATAAATAATTTCTTTGGTTTTTACTTTTCTTTTGCAATTTTCTTTACTTCTATCAGGGTAAAGTATACTATTTTTACCTTTCTGCAAGGTTTGGGGCTGACTTCAAAGGACGCCTTGAATTGGCGTCTTTGAGCCGAGGTCAAAATGGTGCGTGGTCTTTTGGGCCCTCTCCGACCATCCCTCGGTCTGCTGTTTTCATCCAACACGCCGTCTGCAAAAGAGACACCAACTGAAAATCTTCATTCGCACCAAAGTGAACAAAGACATTATATATATAAAAAAAAAACAGGATTGTCTGATTAGGGATTCCGCTCGGGTTGCGTATATTTACCTCTGGGGCTGGCCTGCTGCATCATGTAGAGCTCCTTTTCGTAGTCAGCCCTGCAGAAAAGCTGTCCTGCCTTGATCACGAATTGATCGCCCTTTTGGAGCTGCTGGCAACAGACAGTGCATACAAAGCAGCGCAAATGGAATACGTGGGTCTGCGCCTTCATCACGAGCTCGTGAGGCAGCACCCGTTGCCCACACCCGGAGCACTTCACTCCAAATATCCTGAAAAAAAAAAATACAAAACTTTATATAAAGCTGGGTGAATTTTTCCCTCCGGCAAGAATAAATTTAATAAAACGACGCGCGATCGCGAGAGGCGCCGCTTAATTGTTGGAAAAGCTGCACAGGATATTTCCTCGAGCGCCTCCGAAAGAAGGTGCGATATTAAAAATCTTGGCTGAAGAAAAGAGGAGAGAATGTTTTATGCGACGTGGAGAAGAGTTAACTCGTGTAAAAATCCTTTTAGCGCGCGCCACTTGTGTGTGCCATCCCTTTCTATCTCTCTCTCTTGCCTTCGCGCCGCTTTTCATTTCCTCCTCACGTTTTATTAAAATCCTCGCTTCAAATGCACCATTCAAAAATGGAAAAAAGCGAACACAAATACACAAAGCATTTCCTCCCCGGCACCTACGCGCAAAATGAGCAAAATAATGTAAACTCCGCGCCATCATTGCGAATCAGCATCTCATTCAACTCGCGAGTGGAATTTTTAATATCGCGCGCACGTTTCTCTTTTCTCCTTCAAAGCAACAAAAAACATCCCCTGCCTTTTTTTCAATCCTACCTGTCGTAGTCGTCCTTGCAGTAGAGTTTGGCGTTCCTCCAATAGCACGAGTTGGTCAGCATGACCCCACAAGCGGCGCAAGCCACGCACTGCTCGTGCCACAAACTTTCGCCAACGCTGAGCAGGTAGCGGTCGTTGATTCGGAGGCCGCAGCCTTCGCACGGCCTGTCGCCGTCCACGCTGCTCTGCCGTGTCTTCAGTGGAGGACCGCCCATTGTTCCAGGACCACTCACCATTTCTGGAATAATTAGGATACAATGTTTTTTTTAAATTAAATAATATCTCAAATGTTTTGAAAATTTTAGAAAATAGTAAAGAATGACAATTTATATCTAGAACTGTCTTGATTACTTTTGCTAAAAAGGATTTAAATAGTTTATAATAATCTCATTAACTTATGTTTGTATATAGAATTTTTTTTTTTTACAAAACAATGAAAATAATTCATACAAGAAGTTTGACAGGAAAGTTATTCCCCAAAATATAGAATTTTTCAATTGGTCACTGATGGACTTCAGTCTTGCATACTTTTCATTGTTATATTGTGTTGTCCCCGCGTGGCACTGGAATGTAGGAATTCGCAAACGGCCTCGCTCGACTATGGAGACCAAGAGGCATTCGCACGCGCGCCTGAAAAATTCCCCATTATGCAACCGGTCAGGCATAGCTGACGCAGCAGTTGCATAATCGGCACATTCTCTGCAGAGCGCATCGATTTGGCATTTTTCACGAAAGAAAAATACAATACATTTGACTGAATGCTAAACAGACTGACTAAAGAAGTCAGAGTAAAAGTAAAATAATGAAACTATTATTTTTGTGGCGTTTACTGTTTAACATTTACGACTGTTAGAAATAATAAACAAGTCTGATTTTTAATTTTTTTTCTTTAATTACTGCTATTTCATAAATAAATATTTATTTTGTTATTAAATTGGTGCAGACTAATAATAATTTAAACTTTTCAATAAAATTCATTTCGTTGTTTCTTGGCCATATGAAATTTCAGATGGTTTTTGCTGTAAAATTTAATTGATATTGGTTTTCTAGTTATACAATAATAATACAAATAAAAAATACCATAGAAACGCCGCAGAAACCTTATTCATTTTGTACAAAACGAGCGGAAATTCTCGCTCATGCGAGTTATGCGGCGGCCGGTGACAAATCGCAATTTGGCATCGCACGTCGGATTAATTGGCGAGGAATGCGCGTGCTCTGGGTATGGCCGGTGCGGACAATGTGGCGGTGGCTGGTGTGTGGTGCTTGTAGCGCGCTAAACGCTGCACGACGGTATGTTCAAAGTTACGTGACTTTTGAACCCGCAGCCAACTGTTGCATTTGCGCCGCACTTAATTAATTTTGTCCTGGCAAACACACTGCCGGTGCAAGAGACATTGTGATGATAAAAAAAATATCAGATTTTTCAATTTCCATACAGAAAAAAATACAAGTTTATATAATTTGAATTCAAAATTAATTGAAACATTAATAAAAAAATTAACTGAAAGTCGTGCGTTAGTAGTTATTGGGATTTTAAGGACAGAATTATTATATGCAACTGACTAAAAAAATTAGAAAAGGCGATGCAAAATTATGTAATATCTAACATTTTTAACAGAAAAAAGAACAATGAAGATAACACTAATTAAACACCAAAAACTGAAAAATCTAAAAAAATCGATATATGGGGACATGGGGAGGGAAATGCGATACTTCGCTTGCAGCAGGTTTTACAGGTGCTGGCGTTATTTTCCACCAACGGTCAAGAGCACTCCAGCCCGCTCGTTCTACGGCGGTAGTTAGGTGTGCGTAAATTTTAGCTCTCACTTCATTACGTCTGGTTAAAAGTTTTGCACTCTGTACCTGCCTCTCTTGTGATGCTGCGGCCGCACGTTGTTTCCCATGCAACAGCCAACAAACTCAAGCAAAACGCGATGCTTGTTTTCAACTAAGGCCTGTTTGACTTGCAAAGTGCTTCACGGGGGGCGAAATATTTCTCCAGCAGCAAGATTTTCAACATGCAGACAGGAGTTTTGATACAAGACAAGTACAAAATAGATGAGTCTTGTCGAAAGTGTTTACTTCAAAAAGTTTAATTCTTTTTCCTTTCCTCATTTTAAAGTGAAAGCTTCTCGATCCTCATTTTTGGAGGATTAAAGAAAAAATAATTCATCGTAGCCGAAACCCCAGATTAAATTTGTAGTCAATTTTGAAAAAGATATTTTGGTTATTTATTATGTCCTTTTATATCAAATTTAATTTTATATTTCTGTAAACAAAGTATTTGTAAATTCTAAAATATCCAAAATAGAAAAATAAAGTAAAAAATTTCTACAAACAGATGTACGGGAGCTCCCTTGCATTAAAGCCAAATTGCAACATGGTTTTCAAACAGTGACGTGAACTTTTCACATCAGAGAATTACTACAGAAAGCGCAGAATGCAAATGCACCTATGATGCAAATCGGTGCGCCCTGCGGAATCGAAAATGGCGAAAAGCTTTTAATCAACTCTCACAAAAAGGCCCTGTTAAAAGCATTTCTGCTTGTTCAGAGGTGTGAAGTGGTGGTGATTAGCACTCGGGCCGTGCAGAGAGTAAGCAGCACTCTTTTGAAGACGGCGAACGCCATTAGCTGAGCAAACACCTTGATGGAGCGCGCGCGAGACGAGAGCGAGCAGCGTTCTCGTTTTAAATAAAGCTGGAATAACTTTGTTGTTCACGCGGTGCTGAATTTTAATGAAGCCGCCCAATTCGGCAAACCGCACGCATTATGCAAATTTGAGAGTTAGAGAGAGTTAAGAGCAGCACGACGAATTCTCACTTGCGACTGGCAAACTTTTCCTCCTTGGCCAAAGTTCGCAGCTCAAAGGCTCTCAAGGAAAGTTTTGTAATTATGAATTCTACGCGTCCCTGACCATCAAGCTTCTCACTTCCGAATTAGAAAATTTGGTTTCTATAAACCTTCACCATCTGATAATTTAATAATCAATAACCAGTTGGTTTTAGAAAGACAAGTTTCTTTTAAATGTACAAGATTTTTTAAAAAATAAAGATATTTTTGGTTGGAATTATACTTTGCAGCAATATTTGATTTGGCCTAAAATAAAAATTAAATTTTTGTTTACCTGCAAAAAAAATATTGTGAATAAAATATTTAGTTTATTATTTGAAAGCACGATTCTAATTTTATAGTGCTGCTTTATATTTACAATAGCCATTAAAAAAAAACTTATGAAAATTTGTGATCCTTACAATTTCTTTTGAAACTACATGCAAAAAGATGTGCAAATTTTTTTTTATAATTTGAGCTTAAATTTTGAGAATTATTTTGTTTGCAATTGCTCTCTTTACCTGTGCCTCTGGGCGGGGTGGAGTGGATACTGTCGGAGTCCTGGACCATGGCCGCGTGCAGTTCTATCATGAGTTGTTGGTCTCGTCGTCGGCAGCAACAACAGCAGCAGCAGAACACCCTGTGCTCGCGGGGTCGATCGGGGTGAGCATCGACAGCGACTGCCGGCACATGGAGCGGAGCAGGGCCTGCGAGCCAAACCCCGCCCCTCGGGGGCAGTGCGCCCGCTCGGCGAGCACGTAGTGCGGGTGGCCGAGGCCAAATCGGCGGCGCCGCACCCGCCGGCCACGCCTCGCCAGTGCAAAAAGAGTTGCGAAGCACGCGGAGCGCGATTCGGACACTTCATCAGCTTCTGATAGACTCGCGGCACCTTCGATCTCCTGGAAAATAGAAAACAAGCATACTTTGATTTATTTCAATTTTTCTCTTTCTCAAAATCAAGATGAAAATTTTAAGTAAGGCCTCTTAAACGCTTACAGATCTTAGCGAGAAATGCTCTTTTGTTAATTAAAATCTGTTTATGATTTTTAGCAAACAGTTGACATAATCAGGATGTGAATGTATTACACGTGCGCCTGCAGCTTTTGAAGTTATGCAACTTGCACGCCTGCATTAGGTATCAGTTTGGTTACCATATTTTTCGAGTTTGAATTTTCCTCCTGAATCTTCTCCATTAATTTCTATGGTGTAACTTTTGTTCAAATTTCCTTACAGTAATTTTGTAATTATTTAATATTTTCCTACTGTAATTTCCCTGCCAAAGGTTCCGTCTTTAATTTATTCATCAAATTATTATTAAGAATTCAGCAGTGTTTCCTTTAGGAACATAATAAAAATTTTGATTTAATTAAAGCGGTCTAATTACTGGAAGGAATGTAGTAGGTAACGGCGAAGAGAATCTGCCGCATTCTTTTGCTAATCAAATTTTTATTGGATCTCCTTCTCGACATACAAATTTTCTGCTAAATTAAATAATGTATGTCAAAATTATTATAAAAAACCAACTACCAGATGTAGAGTAAATTTTATATTTTAAACTCCTGGGCAGTAAACAAAATGAATGTAATACAAATCGGATTATTGGCTAATAGAAAGCTTGTATCGCCTTTTGAAAACAGACGTTGAACAATAGGAAGGAGTTAAAAAGTCAATTTAAATCCCCGATCCGCCGGGCCAAGTGTAAACACATCAAAAATATGATATTCATGCTTTAGCTGCGCCGACGTGCATCTGCTCGTCGCATTATTTAAAGGGCCCTCTGATTTTGATATGCATTGTGCGCCGCGAGTGCAAGGGGGCGGAAAATTGTTGCCCCGCGAGTGTGGCTAATCGCGAGTCGCCCCCGACTCTGCGCTTTGTGCGAATGCATACAATTTTATTAATTAGCCACGCACCGCAATTTGAATTTCTGATTTTCCTTCGTCGTCGCGGCTGCTGCAGGTGCTGCGCGTTTTCGACCCTTGTCACTGCTCGATTAGCGCTGGACCTGATCGTGAATGACACGCGTTGCGCAAAAGAGCGAAGGGCGCGAGTTTATTCACTCACACTTCGGTGAGTGATGCCTGGAAAATTGGACGATTTTCACGCAAAATCACGCGTTTCTGTTTGTGTTGGAATCGGAGTTTGCTCTCTTACGGACCGACCGCAAATGTTTCATGTGATGTGGAAAAAATGCAATCGTGCGGCTTTACAGGGGGAATTTGCACAGTTTGATATGTAATGAAAAAGGACAGAAATATTACGTAAAGTTATAAAGTGTTAGAAATAAACAGCTTATTGAAATAATAGTATTATATATATTAATAATAATACAAAATAAAATTTGGTTAAATAAATGTATAAATATCAAAAACCTGTTTAAACTATCACGTAAAACTTAATTCAAAATTACAAATTTTTTTCTTTACTTCATTGAGTTAATGTTTTTTAGTCATTAACTATTTAAAAAGCTGTATTTTTTTCAAATAAATAAGATCTATTTATAAAAATTTTATATAAAATATTTACTCTCTTTCAATAATAAAATTAATGTTTGAGGCTAAAAATCTATGTTTTGACGATTTTCTTCTTCATACAATCATAATCGATGCCTTACGTGTGGGGGTAGTCACGCCAGAAGTCAGAGAGGCATCCCCGAAAAACAATTCTCCGAGTCTATATTGTGTGCAAGTGCAATATGTTGCATGTGTAACACGTGCAGCGGCTCAAAAAGAGTGACGTCACGCTCAGCTGCCGCCACCACAGCAACGGCACACTTTGCGCCGAGATATATATTAAATCGGCGGCGCATCGATGCCCCTCATTCATTGTTTGTAAGCAGCTCACTCAAAATGAAAAATAATACGATGCCGCGTCCGAAATAGCATTCGTGCGTATTATTATATTATTGGCCTGTGCTGTCTGTCAAATGAGAGAAATCCCTCGAGTGGGTCTACGGTTGACGAGAGCTGGAATATGCCGCTCTGTATGTTAATTACGCTGCTCTGACGCTCAAGTGGGCGCTGAGTGCTTCAGTCGGGATTTCAAACGATTGTTTAATTGCACCTGTTTGGCTGCCACTTTACCATTCATTTCTAAGCTAATTGGTTCTAATTGATTCATGTTTGACCAAATTTAGATTATAATAAAAAGAACCGAAAAATTATTTATTTAAAACAAATTCTAATTAATCTAAAAAAGCCTTGGGACACGAAACTGGTTATTTTCTAAATTATTCCATAATTTAATAACTTCTTATCATTAATCTCTAATTACACTGATATTAATTATTTTAAAGAATCTCTGATGAGGCTGATGACTTTGATGAGCAAAATATAAGGATTTTTTAAAAAATATTTTTAGGGCCGGGCCAAGAGTGCCAAGACATTAAAATTTCAGTCTGGAAAATGTGCTTCAAAATAAACCAGAGAGCAATAAAGATACTGAAGTTACTTTTTTAAATTTTAATGTATAGCTTCTTATTTCAGAAAAAAACTTTTCTATTATTTCTGGTTAAATTTGCCCTTAAATTGATAATAATTTATAATAATAATAAAACAAGACTAAAAAATAGCTGCAGCAAAGACTTTTTTGAGGACAACTCATTTTTAGTTTAAAAATATGTATAAAAAATAGTCATAAATTAGAGACAAATTTCATTTATTGTGCAAATTAGAGTTGTTGCGGAACAACAAAATACTCACTCTACTTTTTTCTTCAGTTTCTTCACGTTATTTTATGAAGAATTTTCATTTTCTTTTAAAATAAAGAACTTTTAAAATGACTGGATTCAAGGGAAAAACAAATTTTGCTTTATTCTCCCCTTTCATTCTTTTTCTTCATATATTGACTTCGTTCGTTTGCTCCTTTGGCGCGCATAATGAGATCTTATGTACGTAGCGCGCCTTTCTTCTTCGGCTGCAAAAATTTTAATATAAAACTTCAATGGGACCGGCGCCGAGCGCAAAATTTTCATAAATTAATATTCCGGATGCTGACAAAGGTGTGCTCCTTTGATGTGCCTCTTTCTTGCCTCTGACAACTCAAATAAAAGAACGAGACTCTCTTTCTTCTCATTTCGCCTTTTCTTTTTCCTCGACTCCCTCTGATAAAATATTTTCCGTCGTCGGCTCCGCGCTGCTTTTTATTTGCGCTGCTGCTTCTCAATAGCAGCACATCCTATGCTCGTATTACCCCCTCGTAAAGTGCTTGTTTATGCAAACTGCTCGACATGTTTGTACGACAGACCGACTTCTAGTCTAACCACCCAGGGGCTGCCGCTCGGCGAGAGTGTTTAGCATGGGCGTCGGTCGCTCGCTTAGCAGCGGGATTGTCATGCAAATTCAGGCTCATCAGTCGCCTCAATAACCGAGGAGACAGTCGGCGGCCATCCTCCCTTAGAGGAATATTTGCCCTCTTTTCGCACCATGCTCTGCCTCTCTAGTGAGCTGTCGACAAACCCCGCCGGCGATTCTAGCGATTGGTTTTCCCACGAACTCACTTTCAATTGATCCTCATCAATATTCTAAATCAATTAAATCATTCATTACCAGTCAATTCCAAAATATATAGTTAAATGTTTGGAAAATAATTCAAGTTGCCTAACGTGCGGGGAGAAGGGGTTAAAATTAGCAGTTTTGCTTTGGAAGAACAAAGGCAAGAGTACCTTTAACTTTGGAAAAATATGCACCAAATTAGAATTTAAAGTTAATTTTCAAAATATTAAAAAATGTATTATTAATTAAAAGACTAGAAGAAATACATGGTATTTTAAACAAAGGACGTAGAAAGAATTATTTATTAGATTCCGTTGGATTCTTCCTTTTTTTATTTTAGTTATTTTTTCATTTCTTACAGCCTTTAAAAAATTCCCATAAAATATTTTTTTAGCAACAGATTATTATTTAATTTTTAATATGTTTATTAAATAATTGTAAAAATTTAATTTCCTAAATTTATGACAAAAAATTATTTTTTTTGTAAGACCTAATTGTTTCTCTAGAGTCGATGCATATCGACTATACTACTTTCCTTGTTTTCTTTCTTTTCGCACTTTTTGCACTTAAAACCATTCGCCCTCTGCCCTCTTTTGTTTCCGAGCTGCTGCTGACGGTTCCGCTGGAGAGCGCACTCCTCAAGTTGAATTTTACTTTTAATTAAGTTGAGCCATTAATCAAGAGTGCGCGCAAAAGGCGCGAGCAGCAGTGTTCGCCTCTCTGCTAATGTTAATGGCAACAACCCCTTTCCTTTTTTACATTAACAAAACGACGATAGAAAAATGAGAAAACGAAATCGAGTGCCTCAGCGCTTTCTAAATAACACAGCACACGCCGCCGATATCCTGAAACGAGTAAAACTCGCGACGAGAAATAATAAATTTCCTCGCTCGCTTATTCATTGCCGCCTTTGCTTGTTGTGCGTGCCAGCTGGAAAAACTGCGTGGGCGTCAGCGACGAAACAACGGAGAGAGAGAGGCGAAAAATTAGAAAGAGACCCTTTGCACGTGAACATTGTTGCGAAGAAACAAATTGAGCGTTTGTTATTTCTACTCGCCCTTTAAATAAACTGGTGATGAATGATTAATTACAATTCACTTTATTTTCTAATTTAAGAATTAAA